CTTGCTGTACCCTGCCTTCCTCCAGCCTTTGGTCCCATGCGAGGCTGCGGAGAGTGAAATTTAGGAGCTGTCAGGAAAGAAAAGATTGGAGTCAAGAGAAGAGAGAGGGAAGAATGAGTTCTATAGGAGCAATGGTTCCCTGCAAGGACGTGATCTGGGTGACTGCTGGGAGAACATGGAGGGGTGTTGGGACAGCCCATTACTGGTGTCACACTGGCGGCTTGCAGAATACCCTGGGCCAGTGCTGGCACTGTGCAAATGAGCAAAACACAGCACAACTGCTGCTTCCTTACTTGAGGAACTTGCTGTGGGGGTCCTGATTACTTAGTGTTGGTAATTCTGGAGAAAAATTTGTCCAGATTCACTTTGTTGGAGGTTCTCAGCCTGAGTGCCTCTACTGGCTACAGGTGCACACTGATTTACCTCCTGTTGCCTAAAAAATATGATGGGAAGTCTGAGGAGCTCTGTGCTGATGCCTGCCCTTGCAGCAGCACTGCAGTTGGAGACTGCTTACATGTCAACTGCCTCAACAGTGGAGTCCTCTTCTGAGGATGAAATTCTGCTCCAGGCATCCCAAGAAGCTTGTTTTTGACAGGTCTGACTGCAACACTCCAGCAGATAAACGCGTGATTGTGTGTACAAACTGCTGGGGGACGGGAAGGTTCCGGGGGAATATGGGCTTTGCTGGGGGAGCACAGCTGGTCTGGGCTCTGTCTGACACAGAGCAGGGCTTGTACTCTCCGTTTGCGTAATGCAGCTGGGCTGGCTTGGCATCTCTGGCTTTGTCTGTTCTCCTGTGCAATATTTCCCCATTGCTTTTTAACCTCTCCCTACTGTTCAGGGCGAGTCCATGTCCTGCTGTTCTCTTCAGACAGTATCTGAATTATTCTGAATATTCTCTCTGCAGTCAGAGATTTCCCTGAGTCATACCTAAATGTTAATAAAAGCCTAATGGTTTATGTTAAGGAAGGCAAGAGATAAAACTAGAGCCCTTTTATCACAGCCTTTAATGGCCTGAAAATGTCAGTTGTGTGGGAGCAGCTGCCAAATTTTGAGCCTATGAAGATGATGGGTAAGTCCCACAAATCAACAAGTTTGGAGCGGATTATCGGATGCCGACTGTGTCATTTTCCCAGGACTCCAGGCATGCTGGAAGCCAACACTTTAATCCCCTCTGATATGACATCTGAAAGGGGCCGGGCTCCCCTTCCCCTCGCTGCAGAGCTCCGGAGCCGCTGCGGCACAGCCAGCACGGCCTCGTGGAGGACAGGGCTCAGGGCTTTCCTTGCACTGCAGCTTCTGAGTCACAAATTAGCTCCAGCTTTGCTTGAGAACTATTTTTAAGGTCACAAACACAGGATGCAGAAATCAGCGCATTTCATGGTTTTCCTGAGTGCTGCCTCACCACTCCTCTTCCTCCTTCTGTTTCCAGCAGACTTCCTTCCCGAAGGGACATCCTGCATGCCCGGGGCTGGGGAGCTGTAATGGAAATTCTGGGAAATCGCCTCTTCTGCTTCTTTTAGGCCTGGGATAAAGAAATGAACTCGCACCATGAAGACAACTAAACTCTTGAGCTCTTATGTGGCTGGAGATCTTTTATCTCTGTCCCACTTTGTTTCTGCAATTGCACTCATGGGTTAATCTGACTAACCATCCTCTTAGCTGTGGCCCCTTGATTTGAATTAATTTACATTACTTGTGAAATTTTGCAGCAATACCACCTATCTCAGTGTGCAGGGTGACAGCAGTGTGTACTCCTCCCTCCTCACAGTGTGTGGGGGCACAGCAGTGTGTACCCCTCCCTTGTCACAGCATGTAGGGGCACAACAGGGTGTACCCCTCCTCACAGTGTGCAGGGTAGCAGCGGTGCTGCTCAGCCGGGGTTGACTGTGGCCGTCCCTGACTTGTGCCTGAGGAGGCTCATCATCAGCATCAGAATGGCAGAGTCAAACATTTTGGGTGCAGAAGGTTTCAGATCTAGACTCAGTCCATATTTCTGTGAGGTACTGAGGACCCAGAGCATGTCACAGAAAAATAGAGGCAGTAAGTAAATGCCTACAAGGTGTTTTAAAATGCAGATTATAGGAAGAGATTGGTTTTGGAAGAAAACTTAATATTTGTGCTTTCCCCACATCAGGGAAGGGCAGCTTGATTTAAGATGGAGCAGGATTTAACCCATCCTGCATGGAGAAAGCCTTCTATCCCAAACATCCAGTGCAATTCCCCAGCTGTGGTGACTGCCTGGTGCCTGCAGAAGGATGTGACTTGGCCGTATCCTGTTTCCTGTAACATGTGGGAGTTAAGCTGTCCCCTTGGTGCTGTGGGGTACAGGCAGCAGCAGCACAGCATGTCATCCCTCCCTGGGACACGGCAGAGGGAAATACCATATGTCTCCTCCTGCCCATCCATCTCTTGGAAGAACTGATGTCATTTGAAGAAAGGTGTTTCAGAGGAAGGATGTGTGCAGCCAAAATAAAGCTTGGCCTGGGTTAGAATAGTTACATCCTGTTTACTGTGGAAAACACTTTGTGCTGATATGAGCTCTGAAATGTGTGATTTGTAGGCAGGCAGGCGCTGCAGATAAGGGACTTCCCGTGAGTTTGGCCACCTGCGAGAAGAAAGGGCTGTGTCCAGCGGACTGGCAGGCAGCAATGCTGCTCCTGGCTCCTGTCTTCTCTGTGGAGAGGAGGTGCTGAGTGTCCCTTGGGGTCCCAGCTGGCTGGAGGTGCCTCTGTGCCTCAGTTTCCCAGTAGGAAGGAGCTTTGCGAGCTTCAGGTGGTGAATATTGATAAAGACCAATGAAGAGGGGCTAGAGTTAATGATCACCAAGACAAATAAATAAACCCAAGTGCGTTTCTAAAGATCTGGTAGTGAAGGGAAGGAACCATTAAATCAGAAACATGAATGGCTTACTGTGTTCTCTATATGGTATAAAAAAAGTGTCACCCAGTGACGGGGCAAATGTACACACTTAAGAATTTGGGCTGTGATTTTATTTTTTAATAGAATGAGGTGTGATAAAACTGCAAAATGCATTTAGCATTGCATCCATAAACTTGTTCCTTTTGTCTTGGTCCCCTATGAATGGAGTGCAGCTGTGAACGTGCTGCCTCCTGCTTGGCAGTTGTCTGAACAGAGGAAGTTTTTCACTTCAGTCTTTGTTACTCCGTGTCTGATGCAGCCAGTGGTGGCCACAGGGTCTGGTGTCTGCTGGGGTGCAGGGGACCAAGGTCAGGGTGGTTTTTTGAAGAGGACCCAGCCTGTCACTGGCTGCAGCATGGCTGTGCCGGTGCAGCAGCAGGGATGTGAGCCCTGGATGTGTCTGCAGCAGCACGGTCCCTGCAGTCAGAGGTACGTGCTGTTGTGCAGAGGATGCTGTGGGGTGTTACGGCTCCGGGTGCCCAGGTAGCCTGTGCTGTTTGCTGACTGGCTGCTACAACACCCCAAGGGCTGCCTGGCACCCACCACTCCCAGTGGGGTTTGCTGCTGTCCTCTCCCATGCAAAGAGGAGAAGTGGGCAGTGCCATGGCCTGTGGTCCCCATGCCAGCTGACCCCTGGGGTGGCTATGACCATGGCAGAGAGGTCACCAGTCCTGGGGGGTTCTGCTGGAGGCTTCTTCCCTTCCTCCAGTGTGGGGACACCGTCCCTCACTCCTGCAGGCACAACACCATTGCTTTGTGTACATTTTGGGATTTAGCATGTTTCTTTCCCACTTCTGCCCTGGAATGTATTGCACCAACCCAAGATACATGGTGCTGGCTGGGGGACAGATGGGCATGAGGCAGGAGGTGCACCCCAAAGCGGGGTGCAGGCAGAGGAGGGGAGGTCCTGACCGGTCTCATGCTCTTGCTGCAAAGCCTAAAGATTTGCTTAATCTTCTGAACCATCTGGAAAGGAGAGAGAGCTGAAGCTTTAGCCTGGTTCCATCGATGAAAGAGTTATGATAACAAGGGAATTAGCATCAAGGCCGTGGTGCAGCCCAGCGGGGAGGGACTGTTCTGGACAGGCTGGTGGTCACCTTCTGCCTGGTAGAGGCATGCGATCCAGTTCCCTGTCAGATACAGCCTCAAATCCCTGCATTTGTTCTGCTTAAATTCACACTCCTGACAGTTTCTGTGGCCAGGCTATCCATGTTATGGTTGGGTTCAGAAAGGCATAAACGTACTTCATCCTTGGGGTGTGGGTTGCACCCCGCCAGGTGTCTCTTGCTGGAGTTTTGTACCAGTCCTTCCCACAGTTAGGGCCTGGGTTGGGCACAGGTGGCCTGTGGATACCTGCTGCTGCCAGAATGCCAGCCCTGCCACCTCTGCCTGCCACAGGGAGGGTTACAGCACGGGCATGGCCTTCCTTGGGCTAAACCTGGGATGACACCGTAGGTGATGTGGTAATGGCCCTTGAAACGTGCCTGTCATTTGAACAGCTCCAACTGCACCTGCTGCAGGTGAATTGTTGGCAGTGAGACTGTTGTGATGTTCAGCTGTTGTTGAATCCACCCAAGTTGTCTGAGCAGAAATTACATGAGAATCTCAGAGGATTTGGGGTGAGAGGGGTCATAAATCTTGGGTGTGTCTCGGCAGGGTAGGAGGAATATAAGGCATTCAGTCCTGCTTGCAAATGCTACTGCCATGCGGCAATTTCACTAATTAATTTGGCATAGAAGAGTCAAGTCTGTTGTCTTGCTTTGGGCCAAACAAGCCAAATGCCTGCTCAGAGACACGGCTCACTGGCAAGTCCTTAACCACTGTCCTCTGCCTTTGCCCCTTGGCACCTGACAGTGAATCGACATGGGAGTACCGACACTGATCTCGTTCTCCACATGCCAGCCCTTGCAGGCAGCTCATCTGCCAGGGCCACTTGCTTTTTACTTTGACTCAGCAGTGAGGGGCTTTAGCAGGGCAGAGTGGAGCTCTCAGCAGTCTGATCCCGCTGTGCCCGAGGGGGGTGGTGGGGGAACCCACTGACGTTTGTGCAGCCCAGTGATAGTTGTGTCTCTCCACAGCTGCAGCCGGAGCAGCTGGACTGTGGAGCAGCGCACCTCCAGCACCCGCTGGCCATCGTGAACCCCGTCACAGCCACCCCCATCTTCACCTACAGTGGCCTGACCGCAGTGGCAGTGGCCAGCGTCAACAACTACACTGTTGTGTTCCTGGGCACCGCCAGTGGAGGACTCCTGAAGGCAAGTAGGGCCTGGCAGCACCAGCATGGGGCAGCAGGGCTGGGGGACAGGGCGGGTGTCGGGGCCTCCCCTTCCAGCACCTTTGGTCTGCCCAGAGGACAATGTCTGTTGTTGACTTGGTCTGAGCACCTGCTTCCGTCAGGCAGTGAAGAAATCTTTGGGTACTGCTGCAACCTGGACGGTTGGAGGTGCTTGGAGGGAAGAAAACTGATCCAGTCTCTCTCCTTGCATCCAAATGCTCCTGGCAGAAGTGTGGGAACAATCACAAAGGAACTCCCTGCTTTGATTTTTGCCCCAAGGGGCAGGTAATTTGGGCGGGTGGGAGGGAGCTGGCACCAAGCTGTGCGCAGTGGGCTGGAGGGCACATGCCACACGCAGTGCAGCCTGTTCACACGGCATTAACAGCTCTGCTCTATTATCATCTTGGAGAGAGCAGCCTTATCTGTGGAGCCTCCATTAGGGAGAGGCTCCTGGCTACCCTTTGCTGGGATAATTTGCTCAGATAGCTGTAATCTAATTCTACAACACAGCTGCATAACCAGAAGCCCTTTTACCTTCAGGGCTCCTTGCTCTTTGGCACGGGACACAAGATACTTTGTGTGAGTTATCATTCAGATTTGCTGCCTGAGAAAAGACAGCAGAGGGGCAGAAATAGTGTTCACCCAGCTCCTGCCAGCAGCAATTAGGGCTGCCAGGGGCATGTATGGGAAATTAATCTGATTCTGCACTGCAAACAGGCGTTTGGTGAGGGCCAGTGCACGTTTAGGAGTCATGAGAGGGACAGCAGCGCTTGGGCAGCGTGGCCAGGGCAAGCTGTGCCAGGGTGCAGCGCCCTAGGGGGCAATGGTGGGTAAGAGGGTCTGTCCTGGTGACTCCCCACATGTTCAGGTCCAGAAGGCCACAGACAGACACACTCCTGTGGTGGGGTTACCCAGGACTTCATGCACTCTGCTCCCACCAGCACCAGGGTAGCTCATGTCCTCCAACCCACCCCAGCCTGCTGCACCAGGAGGACTGGTGGTCGCTGCCCCTCCGTGCTGCTGTGGGGGCTCTCCTGCAGGGTCTGCAGCCCCCGAGAGCCAGGGAAAGTGCCTGCATAGAGAGGGTGTAGGGTGAATGTGCCCAGGAGGCAGAGGGACACAGGGGCAGGCATCTGGAAACAGCCACGTGTGGAGCACATCTCAGCAGGAAGGGTGAGAGGATGGTTGCAGTGGAGGGTGTCAGGGCTTGGTTCATGGGCATCTTGGCTGATCCCAGGGAACTCATTTAGCCTCTGGCTAGCCAGCTTTTAAAATGGGCACAATGGCAGTTCCGTGCTTTTTCTGCATAACTTGCAGTGCTTGCATATGGTTCTTAGCAGAGAGAAGCCCCTGCTTTGAGCCTGTGCTGTCTTACTGGGGCATGTCAGTGCTGCTCTAGTGTACGAATTAATTAACCTATGTTAATTAATTAATCCAGACTTTAGAGAGGAGAGGCATACTTGATCCTTATGATTATTGCCTTCCCTTGCTAGTAGGGAGGCAGGAATTTTCCTCACTCCCTTTCTGTTTTAAGCTGAAAAGTGACTGTCACGAGAAATTGTGTAGCCCCATTGTTATTTCCTCTCAGCAATGCCACATTTAATTTACTGAGTTTTCAAGTCAAATGCCAAGACATTCAGAGATCTGAAAGGCAGGCTGATGCTGTGCAGCCTTCTCCATCACTGCCAGCACTTCAGCTGGCGATTCATGAAGCGAGGTAGGACTCAGTACTCTCGTGGCAGCTGCCGTGGTCTTCTGGAGTCAGCAGGGATAGAAGCTTCTCTTGGCTGGGTGTGACAACACTTATTTTTCAAATATGCAGGGAGCAGGGGATGCCATGCTGTACAGCCCTGTTGCTGATTTTCGCTGTTTTTCATTAGGCTTTCAAAACTCACTGTTCTCTCTACAGAAATGTGCATATGTATGTGATGAGGGCTGAAGGCTGGTGCCACTTGCATTAGGGTAACTCAAGGAACGCTGCTGTGGCTACTGGACACAGCTGAGGAATGCTCCTGTGGGTGCTGGATGCAACCATGCAGGGGTAGAACCTCAGTCCAGGAGCTTTCCAGGCAGCCACTCCAACAGAGGGTCAGTGGGTGATGAAGTTCCTGCGTCACTGAGCAGGGCTGGGGCTTTCTGGGCCAGGGTGTGCCTACCCAGTGGCACAGAGCTGGCTTTCCAGGAAAGCTCTGTGCGTGCAGCCTGCAAAGTGTGCAGATATTTACAGTGCTTGACAATGTGGGGCACTGCTGGATACCACTTTGATTCTTGTTTATACCAAGGAGAAATAATCTTCTCCCCAGTGTTTGAAAAATGGTCTCAGGGAGTGTCTTAGTGGCTTCTTCTCACTACAGATTAACCTGGACACTACCATGAAGGTTATTAGCAGGAGATCCATTTCAGTGGCTTATGGAGAGCCTGTCCACCCCATCATGCAGTTTGACCCTTCTGATCCCACCTATCTCTATCTGATGACCTCCTACCAGGTGAGATTTTCAGTCCTCAACAAAACAGTGCTTTGAGCACATCACGTGTTTGGTTTAGCACCGAGCTGGGAGCAGGGCGGGACAGTAAGATTTGCTTTAATATTAATGGACAGAGACAAGAAGTTCAGAGCTTTGGCTGGGATGTCAAAGGGGTTTCTGGGGAGGTACCTGTGCCTGTCCATTCTCCTGTGTGGGGTGGTCAGACCATGCAACCTGGCTTGTGAGGTGTTTGTGGTGGCCAGGTAGACAGACAGGAGAGTGAAAGATACTGAAAGCGATTGCACTGACAGGAGTGCAGAAATAAGCAGATGTTGTTCCTGTACAGAAACCCCAAGATGAGAGTACGTGGTCTTTAGGGAGGTTTTTAGGAGATCCTGCAGACAAAAAGTCTGTCTGTCAGAAGTGTTCCCTGGGGTGGTTTCTGCTCAGCCCTCTGCAGGAGTGCTCTGCAGAGACCTGGAGAAGCCGCAGCAGGTACAGACAGACGACCTCATGTCCGTCAAGTGAACAGAGGAGGAAGATGAGAGCTGAGCGTTCTAGGCGCTGGTGGTTTGTCCTGAATTACATTTTAATCTGTCAAAACAGATGCATAGCCACAAATGTTACATGTTGTATTTGTATTTTCCAAACCCTAATTCTGTGCAGAGTGGTCATTATCATTTCAGAGACCCCTCCCAGGACACCTCCGACTGTCTCAGCCCCCAGATGGGCTGTGCTCTCTGCTCAGGCTGAACAAACACCCAGTGTGATGCTTGTGGTGCCTCCTCTGACTGCTTCTTTTCCAATAAATCAAACAAGTTAATTTTTTTGGGTGGAATTAGCATCCTGGAAAGCTCCACAGGACTTGACAGGGTTGGGATGGGGTTGCTGAGCCCCACAGGGCCAGGGAGCAGCAAGGTGCTGTGAGTGAAGTAGGGGTCTGGCCAAGGAGCTCAAGGGTCCATGGTGCACTTGCCTAGTGGGACCTCAGAGCTCTTGGCACCTCACATTTTCAGTCTCTGCTGTACCAAACCACTCAGGTTTCCTTCACAAATGTTCAGAGATCAAAGGAGGAGAAAGCAGAAACCAACACATACTTTCTCTCCAACTGCTCCTGCCAAGCGAGTTCCCAGAGGTACTTTGATTTCTTTACAAATCAAGGTTTCTAGAGTGGTGCTGCTTTCTGATTGTTGCATAAATAGCCAGGGAGCGCTGAGCTCTACCTGGAAAGGAACTTTCTGCAGGTATGGATGAGAACTTTTCACAGGGAGGAACAAGCTGTGAAGCCACCTTCATCTGACACCTCTGAAAAGTGCAGTGTCACTCTCTGTAGCCTGGCCATCCCATGGCTCTTGCCATGGCGCTGGCTGGAAAGGGGCAGCCCAGCTCAGCCCAACTCAGCTCAGCTCAGCCCAACTCAGCTCAGCTCAGCCCAACTCAGCTCAGCTCAGCCCAACTCAGCTCAGCTCAGCCCAACTCAGCACAACTCAGCCCAGCCCAGCCCAGCCAGTTGCGCACACCATGGGGCACCCGAACCCTTGGGTGTCCTCCCTGCCCTGGGACAGGCTCTGGAGGTCCCCAGTGGGCAGCAGGTGGCTGCCCGGGCTGGTCCCTCAGTGGGTGGCCGTGGCACAGCACCCGCCTCCAAGTGGTGCCAGGGTCTGCTGCCGCTGCTGTCAGTGAACGTGCTGCAGGCTGAGGGGTGTCACAACCCAAGGCACTGCTGTCTCGTCCCCAGCCGTGCGTGGCCGTACTGGCACGTCCCAGTTGGGCGGGTGTTCCTGTGGTGCTGTAAAACATTTGGAAGCAGTCGTGCTGTTGTCGTGCAGATGACGCGGGTGAAGGTGGCTGCCTGCAGCCAGTACTCGACGTGCACAGACTGCCTGGCCGCCGCTGACGCCTACTGCGGGTGGTGCACGATGGAGACCAGGTAGGACCAGGCGTGTCCTGGTGTGCTTCGGCATGTCCTTTGGCCCTCAAGCCCGGGCAAGAATTTCTGGTGTCTTTTGTATTTCCTTGCAGTCACACTGCCACAAGTCTTTGTCCATTCCTTATGAAATACGTGTTGTTAAAAACAATTACATCTGGCCCAAAGGGTTGGGATGCTCTTCAGAGCCAGGACTTCACTGTAGCTGCATTGTCACGCTGCAGGCAGCTGCCAGTGCAGAGAATGTCTTGCCAGCATCCAACCATGGGACTGCGAGAGCCCACACCCTGTGAAAGACCAGCTTTTGCCCTTGCAGTTCTCATCTATGAGTAGAAGACAATCACACTCAGAAAAGGATATTCAAAATTAGATTCCATGTTTGCAAACTGAAGATGTTGGACAGAATGTCACCTCCTCTTCCTCAGTTTGGATTAAGCCTGGCCTTCTCCCGCCTTCCTCAATCCTGGTGCTCCCCTGGTGCTGTGGGAGTGTGTGCTCTTATCGTGGCAACCAGACACTTTAAATATAGCAGAAAACACCGAGGCTTAGCTGCATGGATAGAGGAAAAAGATGCAGACACAGGATTTTCTCAGAATCTTCTCTCACAAGGAACTCAACAATTTTATCACCTATTTTAAAACTCATCAACCATGAGCTGTTCCCCTGTCCGTTGCAGGTGTTCTTTGCAGCATGAGTGCACCAACTCCACAGGGGCCAACTTCTGGGCGAGTGTGAGTGAAGGAGTGCAGCAGTGCCCCTCCATGACCATCCTGGAGCCCGAGATCAATATTGACAAAGAGAACCCGGTGCGTTTGATGCCAGTAATAAATCAATCACCTGCAGTGTCCGTCGAGCCGTTACCTGCTCTCAGGGCAGGTAACTCTCCATGCTCCTCCAGCAGAGAGCACGGCTCTGCAGGGCTCACACGTGGGTCAGGGGGATGCTCTGCTGAGCTGCTGTGTCAGGCCAAGGCTCTCAGAGGGCTGGGGGTGACCTCCAGCACCCTGGAGCTGGCTGGATGCTTGTAGGCAAACAGAACCTAGAGCTGCTGCACCAAACACACAGGGGAGGGTAGCAGAATTTCAAACACAGATGATCAGCTGCAGATGGCTGAGTCAACTCATTTTCTGGTTTTGTATTGTTGCTATTTTTAACTATTTTAATTGTATTTTTAATGTTTTCATCAAAATATTTTTTGTTTAAAGACAGACCCTGTTTGTGGGTTTGTTTTGGAGTCGTCTACCTCTGAAAAGCTTCTAAAATGTTGAAAAATTCTAAATGTAATTTTCTGACATAATAACTGATTTTTTTGTCTAATATAGGCCCTGATAATACAAATAAATGGAACTATCCCGAACCTGAATGGAACAAATATTTCATGTGACTACGGAAACAACATCCACACAGTAGCTAGAGTTGCTGGAGATTATGTAAACCAATTTATTTATTGCAGTTTGCTTCCACGTGAGAAATATCCAGCATTTCCTGATGACCAAGGTATGTAGAGGCAAGCAAGCTGGGTTCCTTCTAACCACTTTTGTGGACATAATTTTTAATAGACTTCATTTCTTTTTCCATTTGTATATGCAGATAATGCATACAGGGAAGAAAAGCCCAAAGCTGCTTCTCTTTTACAGGGCATATGACTCTGAAGCGTAGGAGTTCCACCATCTTTCCACAAAGTGACAGTATTTCAAATCTATCAATTTTTGTTTTAAACATCAGAATTTAAATGCCAGTTAATGGACTTACTTTTATCTGATTTGAGTTTTTGCTTCAGATTTAGTAAGTACCAAGCCAAAAATGTTTCAGCCTTGGACAAATAATGTTGCTCCTTATATTGATATTTTCAATTGCTCTGTTTAATTTCCCTCTGCAACACGTACTGCCTTTCAGGAGAAGCTCTGGAAAAAGAGCAAGTGGGTGCCTAAAAGAGCTCAGGAACTCTTAGTCCCTGAGCCAGATGGAGCTTTGCAGTGTCCCCTGGTTTCTGATGGTACCGCAGGGGATGCCCGTCCCAAGGCTCCGTGGAGCTGCCTGCGGAGGGGCGAGCGCCTGCGGATGAAGTTGAAGGAGGCCGAGCTGATGGCTGAGCTGACCCCATCTGAGATCAGCCACTTAGCAATGGAGTCGGCCCCTCTCATAGTGCCTTAGAGAAGTTCAGTGCTTCATTCCAGACATGAGTGCTTATTAAATTTTCATCCTTCGAGCCTGGAGTGAATGCACTATTGAAGATGGCTGACTTCAGTAGAGAGAGAATTAGACAGTCCTTTTGAAAATCCCACTTTTCCTAGGCCCATTTGTAAAGCTGCGTTGTTTTTCTCCCCAGCTATCCAAAGAATGGGAGATCATTAACTGCTCTGTATTGTTGGTTATGGCAATGTCCAAATGAATTTCTGGAATCCAATGCGCTGATTTATTGTCCATATTCTGAAAGAGGCATTGTCTCTTCTCCTTGGTGCTTATATGGCAAAATTGTAAAGAAAAAAAAATTCAGCAATTTTGGGGGGAGGGGAGGTAGTATGGCATCTTGAGCAGCCAAAAAAGGGATTTCCACTCTCCTCTGAGTGTTTGTTGTCATGGGGAAAATGAGCAGGGTTTTAAAACATGATAACTAACATGTTTAAATTACCACATTTTTTAAAAATATAATTTAGCACCAACTGTACGTGAAGACAATTATTAACTCTGCTAATTAACACTTGCACAACACGCTGAAATTTTGTGCTGAAAGCCACAATGTTCTTTTCTGTGAGGGTAGTGTAAAGCACTGATTTAGGAGGGAAGGGCTGAAAGTCAGAGGACAAAGAATGGCTGGTCCAAGCTCTGAAATGCAGCTTGGAGGAAGCCCTAGGGAAAACAAATCAGATTTAGCCCTTGTTTTCCCAAGGGTCTGTCTTGTCTACTGTCTTGTCGTGAGCGTGAGCGAGGGGCTCTTGCAACCCAATATTCTTTGGCTTGATTCTCTCAGACCACGTGGTGGTTGAAACTGCTCTCCGGGTCAACAGCAAAAACATTATCCAGGCCAATTTCACCATCTATGATTGCAAAAGGACTGGAAACATTTACCCAAAGAGAGCGTAAGTGACCCCGGTGTGCGGGCAGCGGGGCCCCCACAGGCAGGGCACGGGTGGCACCGGGGTGATGGAGGCAGGTGGGGTGGTTTGGAGGTGGGAGGTGCCAGCACACAGCTGGATGAGGGTCTGCCTGTGTGGGGTTAATGGGAGAGCACAGCCCCTGCCAGTGGGTGGCTGGGGGCCTGAGCAGGATTTGGCAGGATCGTGGGGGATGCAATACCAGGGATTTACAGAGGAGGGTCCTCACGTCGTCTCAAACCATCTGGAGATGTTGGGTTTCTTTTAAACGTGAATAATATTTTTATATAAAGCTTGGTCTGTTAACCCTTTAGCAGCAGAACCAGCCTCCCCAGAAATCCTTGGAAGCATCTGTGGGGCGCTGGGGAAGGGAGGGACATTCTCTCTTGCCCCTTCCAGCCCTGGGCGGGAGCAGCCACATACCCCCATCAGCAGGATGGGCTGGAGTTGGACTCTGGTGCCGCTCTCCAAAATTCATCCACCTCTCCGGAGTGTAACAGCAGGGCCAGGCTGCAGGGACCCCGTGTCCTACCTGCTGGCACTCCCGTGCCTGTGCAAACAGCAGGGAGAGCCTTCATCAGGCCTGACTTGCCCGGCTCCCTGGAGAGACGGATGGAGGGAAAGAGTGTTTTTGGCAGAAAAGCATTTTATGCTCAGCAGGTGTGTGGCTCCTGGCCTGCTGTGGCCTGGAGCAGGGAGATGATGTCTGGGGGTGATGGGCTCTGCCCACATCCCCTGCTGGCTCCCAGGGAGAGGAGGAGAGCGAAATTCAGCACCTGCCATGGGTTTTTCTGGGCACCATTGTAGACTGAACTGTGTGAAGATGGGTTGTAGGGCCTAGGTGTGGCTCCTCTGAGCAGCCTAAACTCTGCTTTTCTCACCATACCTTTGCCATTCCAGGTGCACCAGCTGCCTCTCGGCCAGGTGGAAGTGTCACTGGTGCCCCTCCACCTACACCTGCGTCTCCAACCACTCGCAGTGTGACAACGCGCTGCAGATGAAGGTGAGGCCCATTAAACTGCTGCTCAGGCTCTGAGCCTCCTCCAACAGCCACTTGCTGGCACAGCTTGTGCCCGGCTGGAGTTGGGGCACCCTTCTCAACTGGTATCCAGGAGAGGGGTGTGTGCAGGCATGTAAAGCTGCAGCTGCATCACACCGTGCTGTGCCGTGCCGAGGTGTGTGTGGGAGGAGGCTGGCAGCCTGGCTAAAGTATTCAGCTGTCCTGGTGCCCTCAGTGGGCTCTGTCCCTTGGCTCTCCATAACCTCCCATATCTGAAGCAATGCTGCTGCTTTTCCACATCCTGGGCCGCCTGGGTTTCAGTGTGAGAAACGCAGCCATACTCCACCATTCCCTAGGCTCTGACTTGTGGTTGCTGTATGTTAATAACGTGCTGGAGCACCACTGGTGGTGCTTGTCTATAGGAGAAAATCTCCCCTTTCCAAATTGTAGCTTTAATAACCGGGACTCAGTGTGTCCCTACTTCTGAAATTTAAATTGAAGGTAATTTAAATAAAATTGGCTTTTTAGCAATCAATCTGCTGTAGATCCAAGCCAAGTTTTTACACCGTAAATTGAATATCCCTTTAGCACTGGTGCTCTGCTCTTGGCTCAGCTCTTCCAGTGTTCCCCATGCTTGTCACTGGGAGGAGTTTGGCCCCGTGTCAGATGTCCCACCTTCAGCCCCAGGCTGACCCCTGGGCCAGCTGTGGCATCCACTCTCCTCCAGCGGTAGGGGAGGTGGGTGGCTGTGAGTGCAGGTAATGAGGATAGGGATGGAGCTGGAGCCACCACATTGCAGCTCCACGCGATCGTGTCTAGTGTAAATCTCTGGGAAATGGGAATGGAAAAGTCTGTGCTGGGTGGCAGCTCCCAGCAGTGCAGGGTGGCGTGTCAGGATCAGCTGTGCCTCCCTGTGCATACCCAGGTGTTTTGGGGAAGCACGTTCTGCTTTGTCTGCTTTCTGGGTTCCAGTGCCTGGTGTTTGGCTGTCTGGACAGTGCTGGGCACTTGAAAACCATCCCGACAGTTGCTCCTGTGGGGTGTCTGCCCTGTGCTAGAGCACAGGGAGCTGTGCTGCAGGTCTGGCACGTGCCAGGCTACTGGGCCTGTGGGTTCTCATGCTGAATGTGCTGCCAGGCACTGGCACTGCTGCTCGGGGCAGGGGCTTGGGGGTGTCAGTTCCAGAAGTGGCATCAGTTGACATCAGGGCTGTGGGACTGGCTGGGGACTGCCCTGGGTTAGTCCTAGATCAGCAGAGGACTGACTTTATTGTCTCAGATCTCCTACTCCAGAGGTACAGTTGGGCTGGATGCTCAGCTGGTTGGGCATGTTTCTGTTTTCTCTTTGCTGATCTGTGTGAGCAGCTGCAGGATGAGGTGCTCTGTAGCCCAGGAAACACGGTGCCTCTTCATGTAGTCAGAGCTTTCAGTAAATAAACCATTGCGGGCGCGACTGCACCTGAGCGCAGCTCCACTGGGAAAGCAGCATCAGAGCAGTTCCATCCACAGCATCTAAAACATTCAACCCCTTTGCCCTGATCCAGACACGAAGGATATAGTCAGCTGGAAGCTTTATTTCTGGTTGCTGGTGAACAGCAGGAGAAGGAGCTGCAAGACGACAAGTTAATCAGTCCTCTAAAGTGTATTTCTCTTGGGAAGCTTTGCCAGCTCCAGTGACATGCAAGGACACACCAGGCCATAGGAGGTTTTGCATGAATTTTCTTGTAGCCCTGCTGATTTTATTTTAACTCTTTTGATTCCCCTGGAAGAAGCTTGGGACTGAAATCTCTCCCCTGTGCTTTGTTTTGGTGTTTTGCATCCCTTATCATGTGCACCTCTGTTATTTAATCTCCTTGTTTCGGTGGCACCAACTGTACTTGGTTAGATGAGTGTCCTGACAGAAGTAAAGCATGTTCTCCACAGACAAACAGGCACTTCTAGGTAGTTTCCTGACCCCTAGGTAGGTCTGGAGAGGGCAGGAGAGAAACTTCCCACTCACTGCGTGTCTGGTCCCAGGGATATGTCCGGCCCCAGGGATGTGTCTGGACAGGCATCCTGGTGCTGGGAGGGCAGGCTTGGCCTCTCCTTGGAGCACAGCAGCAGCACTGGCATCAGCGGAGCCACAGTGGGCTAACCTTTAATGCAAGTGAGAGGAAATCTTACCTGCTGCAAATGATTCTGCATAATGGACCAAGTTTTTTTTTTGTCTTTTACCCCAATGGCTCCACTGTCACAGGCATTACTCTGGATGTACCCTGGGGCCACAGAGAAGCTGGCTTCATTTTTGCTGTAGCTTCGCACTGTGATTTACATCTCATGAGAGAACAGGACGGGCTTGTCATACGGGCTGGAATTCTGAGTCAGCTCCAGTGTCTGAGACATCAATTTAAAATGAGAGCAAAACTAGGGGGACAGATGTCCTCTTAAAATCATTTTTCAACTTTATTTAAGCCTTTCATTGCAGCTACCCTACTAGTGCAGGCCCCTCATTGGATCCCCTGTGGCTCATCATATCCTCCCTCCACACACACGTGAGACCCCTGTGCCCCGTGGTGCCGCCGTGCAGGATGAAGGCCCTGGAACACAGACTCTCCTTGGGGGCTGGCAGGAGTGCTGATGCAGTGAATGGGACGTGGCTTCCAGCAGGCAGGAGAGGGTCACACTGGCAGATCTGCTGTTAGAGGTGGCAGTGGCTCCCTTCAGTGTCACTCCAACCATGTCACTGCCGGAGCCGCAGCTGAGGCGTGGATATGCAGTCGCTGTGCACCTGGCAGTACCTGGTTCCCAGTGAAATGAGTCTTACCAAGGGCCCTGATGTGTCCTCCTGTCTTGTCACTGAGGAAGCTCAGCACGCACCCAGCTAACCTCTTTTTTCCTTGTTTTTGTACCTAACAGAAGAAGATTGACTGTCCTCGAATAGTACCTGCCCCTTTGGAGCCAATGCCCACAGGAGTATCTCGGGACATCACGATCTCACTCGCCAATGCGACTTTCTCTAAGGTAAAAATGTTCCTAGAGGGACTGGGAAGGTTCGGGTGTTTGGGAGAAATAAAACTCCCAGTTCCCTTGTGGGTGTTTGCTCCACTGCAGAGCGTGCCAGTGTCACACTCTCCCAGCGCCACGTGCCAGCCCCGCCCCAGCACCCACACTGAGGAGTAAAGGACACAGCCCTGAGCTGGGCACTGGGAGCCTGTGCTGGCAGAGCCACAGAGTTGAGTACAGCACAGAAACATGGTTTGACTTAACTTTGGGTCGTCAGTGCAGAGCTTGTTTGGTATGAAAAAGTCCTTTCTCTGAAATTTTCTGACATGCAAATTGTAACAGGGTGAAAAGGGGGAGTGGATATTGAATGGTGCATTCTGAGACGCACTGCACACCAGAAGGAACCAGAGGAATTTGGGGCAGAGAGGCTGGGTACTGGGAAAATGCTTGAGTAAGCACTGGTGTTTGTAGAAAGCCGCCCTGAGTCATTTTGGGTCAGTTCAGCAGGGCCCATGGGGCTGGGTTTGCTGTGCCTCTGCAGATGATTCCAGCACGCTGGGCAGCCAGGCAGCTTCTTGTTCTGCAGGGGAGAAGAGTTTTGGAAGTACTGGTGGAGCTGTTCTGGGGTGCCAGGGTACTGAGGGCTGTGGAGGCACTGCTCCCACCACACCTCCTGCCCTTGGTGCGGGGGCAGAGCGGACCCTCCCACCAAGATGGGGTGGTCTTTTCCTGCACAGCTTCGGCCTCTGGGAAGGAGGATGTGCCTTCCACAATCAGCAAAATGGGGCCAGAAATCTTTTTCCTCTCTGGATGCTGGAGGTGGCTGAGGAGGAAGCAATACTGCATGGAACCCATAGGAAATGGAGTCAACAGAAAAGGGGCCACAGCACCTCGGCAGCTGGAGGGGCTCTGGCACTCTGGCTTCCTTCTGCTCCCTGTCCTGGAATGCCAGCTGGGATTTCTTCTCCTTCCATCTCCACAGGAGCTCATGAGTGCTGCTGGAGCTGGGAGCTTTGGAGACGTGGCTTTTCTGCAACATAGGCAGTCCCTGGCAGGGGCATGAGTCCAGGAGTATGGGCAGCACACAGATGCAGAGCCAGAGCTGCCTGGGTGCAGGCGATGCACTGAACGAGATTCTGCCCGTGTGTTCGCTGAGCCAGCAGCTCCCTGCCTGGAGTCTGGTGCCTCCTTTCATGTCTTTTATCAGATCTGCCAGTTTCAAAGGGTAGTTAGACCTCAGTAGTGGTGGAGCATCAACCTTCTTGGAGACAGGATTTTTTCCTGCAGGATGGGGGTACAGCAGTCACTTGGGGCAGGATATCATTCTTGTGTTATCAGGAAAACAGCGCAAACATGCTTCTGACTGGGTCCTCATTTGAATTAGAGATTTGCTCTGCGTAGTTGTTGGGAGGAGGAGGAAGGTGACTTTGAGCCCAAATCATGGGCTGGTTTGGGCTGTTTTACAAGGTGGCTTGGGACAATGGTGGCTCGGGACAATGGTGGCTCTTGATCTGCACTGCAGCATGAGCTCCAAAGACCCCCAGCCACGAGGAACCCCAGTACCCTGCTGTCAGGGTTTCAAGAGCCCAGCCAGGCACAGCTCCTGGTCTCTCTGTGTGCCCTGGGCCAGGTACAGCTCCTGGTCTCTCTGTGTGCCCTGGGCCAGGTACAGCTCCTGGTCTCTCTGTGTGCCCTGGGCCAGGTACAGCTCCTGGTCCACGCGTTTTGTGTTGGGTTCTGATCTCCTGTTTGACTTGGACACAGTTCAGGTACCGACAGCAGAACAAAGGTGGGACGCAATGCCTGCCTTATCAACTGACAGGTGGAGAACTGCACAAAACATTTGCTGCAGCTGTTCTGCCCTTGTCTTCCCTCTCCCAGGAGACAACTCTGGAGTGCCATTTTGGGACAGACAGGACATTTGAAGCCCGGTGGGTGAACTCCTCTGCTGTGGAGTGTGTACGTGTGCTGGTGAGTCGGGGGGTGAGGCTGCCAGCCCTGCTTCCCCCATGGTGAAGGCCAGGTCCAAGGGCAGGGAGGGTCTCACTGCCAGCCTCCAACTCAGCAGTGGGACACTGCTTGCCTTCTTACCTCCCTCCTGGGTTCACCCCTCCAGCAAGAGGCTCTCTGTGTGCACCAATGCTGGCAGGGCACTCCTGCATCACGGGTGTTGTGTTCCCAGCTCCGTGGGGATCTGCAGTGGCTTTGACCTCTGCTCCCCTGGGACTTGGGAAGGAGCTGCTTGTTTACCTTTCTAGATGGGAAGAGTTCAGTTCAGGCAAAAAATTTGGCCACCTTTCAGGGTTGCTATTTCTGTAGCTTTTATTTTGAATGAGGAATTGGCCTCAGAAAATGCTGTGCTGCTCACTAGAGAACTGTGTGTGGTTGTCAGAGGGCAGATTGCACCTCCAAAAGACAGCAAACGTTTGGGCTTCCACCAGTGGGAATATTGCAAGTGGAAGCTGGAGAGGAGCACTTTCCCATCACGTCACCTGTATTGCAGCCCAGCACTGAGAATGCACAGACAGGCCAGGCTGTTCATTTTCCTGTCCGTTTCTGCTAAAAATAGCAGCAAACCAGGGCTTTGCTCTCACTGTGGCGTGTGCTGTGTCCCGGTGCCCTTCACTGGGACCTCAGCAAAATGATTAAAACAAAACAGCCATCCTGCTCCTTCTGCTATAGATGAGACCCTCGTGTCTGGGGAAGCAGTGGTCAGAGAAACCTCACAAGGAAGGTTCATCCATGTAGTGTGGGTATGGGACCTTCTATTTTACTAAATTTCCTACATTTTCACTTGTTTTTTTGTGTGCAGCTCCACACATCAGAAAAAAGCCATCACTTCCCAGTGAACCTCCAGCTGAAGGACAGACCAGACAGATTTATTGACAGTCCGGAGATGATGACAGGTCTGAGTTGAAAATATGTTTATGCTTCTCTCATCTGGTCAGCTTGAATGACTCTCAAACCCGGGCAGAGTTTATGGGTAAAGGGTAGAGACCATGGCTCTGCCGGGCACAGCTCAGTTCCTTCTCTCAGGCACGTGCAAAAAGCATACTTACCCAGAGCTGCTCCCTGTGAATGTGAGCCCAGAGCTCAGACAGGCACCTACGACATCCCGGTTACAGCCAGGGAAGGTCAAGCCCCATCTGTGAGTGCAGGCAGCTCTTGGTCACAGCAGGGATGTGGGGTGCCCCCAGGGCCAGGGAGGAATTCCTCCCAGAGGAGAAAAGAGTTGGGGCGGGGCTCTTCCCTTAGCTCTCACAGAAGTGTGGCATCAAGGTTCCACATGCTGTGAAAATTGAGTCTTCTTTTTGCCTTCTGTGTTGAGAAACAATAAAATCTCTAAACACATTCCATCCTTGGCCTGATCTCTGGGAAGAATGCTCGGATTTGCAAAAAGCCCTTGCTGCATGAGCAGGCTGAGGCAGGCGGGCAGTCAGACTCAGAGTGTGCTCATACGAGGTGCCCAGGCAGGATGAGCCCCTTGTCGTGGGCTCTGCTTGGAGGCAGTATTCCCAGGAGGCAGTATTCCCAGGAGGCAGTATTCCCAGGAGGCAGTATTCCCAGGCTCTTTCACCTCTCGACAGTGTCAGCAGTTGTGGCAGAAGGGGCTGATTTACCCGAGGTGCAGAGGAGTAGGAGAGCCTGAAGGGAGGCTTCCTTTGGAGAATGGCTGTGACAGGGAGAGAGATATGAGCACCAACACCCACTGACCAGGATAAAAAGGTTTCCCTGTGGTAAATCCCTGTGTATGAAGGAGGATTGTCTCGCACAGTGAAAATACCTGGAAATACTAACATGGGCGGGCATGACACGTGGCTTCCCTGCAGAAAGAAGATAGTGTCCATAATACAGCAGTAATCCTGAGGACTGGGGTGGGAGATTGGGATTTTGGATATGCAGGAGACTCAGTTCTCTATGTGGGTGGTGCTGGGAGCAGGAACCACAGCAGAAAGAGCATGTTGGAATTCCCCCTTCTCCTGCGCGAAGAAGGAGCTCGCTTACACAGGCCATGTTTTCATCCGTCTGAATTGACCAGAATATTTGGAGTTCCTGTGGGACCCTTAGGCTGCTCTGGCTCCTTGCCTTATTCAGGCTGGTGTGAGTCACGATAGAGAGGCTGCCTTGCATCAGGGACAGAGATCTGCCAGGCCAGTTATAAATGTGGGCATTTTTTATAGCGTCTTTAATGAAATCGCTGATACTGGTGTTTATTATTTCAGTATTTATTAGCTTTTATTGTTTTGATAGTCCACTGAAGGAATAGAAGCTCTGCTATTGGGTGGAAAACCACCCAGTGTAACTCCCTGAGGGGACTGCAGACGTGGTGGACTAAGCTTTTTTCTGTGGAGAATAGGAGAGCCCCTCAGCACTGGTGACATTACTTTAGCATGGCACAGGCAGGATGTTGGTGCTGGTAAAGTTTTGTTAGCACAGCACGGCAGAGTGTTGACGCTGAGGGACTCGTTAGTTGTTCATGAAGTGCCTTGAGATGCTCCCGTGAGCAGAAGTGCCAAATGTGACTGTTTCTGTGTTTTATGTTCTCCTGCAAGGTCTCCTCTGGGGAAAAGGGTGTGAAAGCCACACTTCCTGAGCATTTCTGGCTGTTATCTCAGCGGATACCCACAGTCCAGTGGCAGAAATCTTTAGGCTAGAGAGGAAATGTAACCCGGGGCACCAGCTAATGGAGAGGTGAAGGCGGTGTAGGAAAAAGATGTGGAAGCTGAGCTGAGCAGATCTGAAGGGAGAAGTCAATGAAAGGGGCCCATGGTCACAGGGGGAGGGAAGGGAACTGTAAACACTGTACAGAGTACAAATCACTCCATTTTTGTCAGCGTGGAAGCAATGTGATTGCTTTGCTGGCAGGAAGGAGCCAGCTTTGCCAAGGAGCTTCCCGTGTGGATGCTGAGAGTTGGAAATGTGTAGCATGAATTGACAAAAAGATTCGAGTTTGGGTGTTGTTTGCTTTTCAAGGGGAATAAAAAGGAAAAGAAAGCGCTAAATTATGTTGCAGTGAGAACAAACACTGAGGCCTTCTGGGAAATCTGCAGGATGGCAGCCAAGTGCTCTGCTCATCCACTGGATTTCAGATGTTGCTGGGATTAATGTAACCGGGGGTGGTGGGAGCGGGGGTGGGTGTTCGACTGCCTCAGGCTAAGCAAAGTTGTGAAAGCCGCAGGCCGGAGCTCACATTTTCTGTTGTCTCTGGTGGCTCAGTGGAGGTGTACAACTGTGGGACCGGCAGTGCCGACTGCTCCCAGTGCCTGGGGAGGGAGGACGTGGGGCACCGCTGTCTCTGGAGCGAGAGCAGCTCCAGCTGCAGGCTGCACACCGAGCCCCCCCAGGTCTCCGACGTCTGCCCAGCTCCTGAGATTAGGAAGGTAAGACCCAAAGGCAATACGGCGTGGGGTGAGGTGGGGTGGGATGGGGTGGCATGGGGTAGGGTGGGGTGGCGTGGGGTGGGGTGGGGTGTGGTGCTGAGGGGTGGGACCAGCCACCCTGTCCCAGCTGGGACAGAAGAGGATCCAGGCATTGTCCCTGGCACAGGACAGGGTCAAGACCAGCACTGAATTTTATTCACTGACTTTCTATGCTGTTGAGTCGCCTAGTGCCAAGGACATCTTGCTAGTGACAGGATTCAGTCTTCATTGTGTTAGTGGGAAACATAACAGCAGCACAATTCAAATGCCCCAGAGTTCCTAGAGTTGCTAAAAGCAAGAAGGATATGTAGGGTTGGTTGAAGGATCCTTATCAGGAAAGCATTTAATGGAGCATGACTGAAATGTGATTGTGAGCCCTGTCTCCAGGCACATGTGAACTGCAGTTCTGCTGTGATTTAAGAGTGGCAGAGGGACCTTTGGGCATCATGCATTTTGAAATGTATTTTACTTAAATTGTAGTTAAATTAATGTTTATTGGAGGCCTTTGGATCTGGGACTCTGCTTAGAGGTATGGTGGGAGCCAACAAATTGATCCCTGACAACTAGCAAAGAAAATACATAGACCAGATTTTAAAATGGGGTCCCTAGAAAAAGAGAAGCTGGAGACACAAAACATCAGAACTGGCAAGGATGTGAGCATCAGAATCGGCAAGGATATGAGATTTCTGCTCTTAGGGAGGCATGTGGTGATCCAGGTGCTGTAACACTGCACAGAGGGGCTGCAGGATCCCCATTGCTGCTGCTTCCCTCTCATCACTGTGGGGGAGAGGTGCTCCCCCGAGTCTGTCCTTCCCCATACTCATCAAATGTTATCAGCACTCCCCAGAAAATAATGGAAGGAAACCACAGTTCAGGTTGCAGAGCGTCACCGACTCTGTCGCTATTTCCTTAGCAAATAGTGGCTGGTAAATCCAAACCCTCCGGAGTCATCCAAGCAGATGAGCCCTCACAGAGCCCTCTGGAGAGGGGCAGCTCAGCCAGTGAAGGGGGCACTGAGCCTGGTGGTGGGTCCCCACCGGCCTTGGCCAGCTGGTGCCACCAGGAGTGTAGCACTGGCTCTGTGTTTCACCTGCTGAAGTCAGTGCAGTCGGTCTGTCCGGCGGTGCCCTCTTAATGCTGACGCAGTGTCACATCCTGTCCCCTTGCAGTGCTGAGATGTTGTTACGGCCAGCACCCTGTCCCCTCACAGCACTGCAGACAGCAGCTGCCAGGTGAAACCAGTGCTGTAGGAGATGGACTCAAAAGCAGGGGCGTGGAAGGAAGGATATTTCACCCTAGATGTGTTTGCAGCTGGAGTGATCCTTGACTAAACCCCAGTGCCAAACTGAGCACATAAGTGTGGTGGATTCTCCTTTGCCAAGCTACAGCAAGGAGGGAGTGGTGGCAGGCCTGCTAGGGGAGCAGGAGTGTGAGGAGTGATTCTCTCTGCTTCATGGGGCTCAAGTGGGGTGTGGACACAGGGACCGGCTCAGGGATGAAGGCCAGAAGCTCATGGTGGTTCTCCCCAAACCTAGTCTAGGGGAAGGTGTGCCTGCCCATGGCAGGGAGGATGGGGCTAGATGATCTTTGAGGTCTCTTCCAACCCAAACCATTGTAGGATTCTGTGATCCTCTGACTTCATGCCTGTCCCTTGGTGCTGCAGATCGAGCCGCTGCGCGGGCCGCTGGAGGGGGGCACGCTGCTGACCATCCGTGGGAGGAACCTGGGCCGCCGCTTCAGCGACGTCCTCGCCGCCGTGCGGGTGGGCAGCGTGCACTGCACCCCTCTGCCCGACAGATACGTCGTCTCTGAGATGTGAGCTGGGGGAGCTGGGGAGGAGGGCCCTGTCCCCTGCCTGTGCCTGCCCATCCCCATCCCTGCTGCCAGGCACTGCTGCCAACCACCTCATCCATCCACAGGATCGTGTGCCAGACCGGAGAGGCTCAGGAGGCGTTTTCAGATGTGGTAACAGTTAATGTGAGCCGGGAAGGGAGGTCCAGGGAGCGATACTCCTATGTGGTGAGTAGCCATCTCCTGAGTGTTTCTTTGGTGATTCCTGCACCCTTTAGAGTGAGCCTGCAGCTCCACCCACCTCCCCTAGCTGGCTGGGAAACGGGATCTACAACTGAACATATCGGGGTCCTCAAGGAGCCACTGCGGTGTCTCCTCACCTGTGGTTACCTGAGCGGGGATCTGGCAGGATCTCAGCAGGGTGTCGGTGGCACAGCCGTGCTCCCAGGCTCAGCTTCTGCAGGGGTGTGTCTTGTCCCAGCTCGATTAACGTTTCTCCTGCTATAAAAGGAGCTCAGTTTTCTTCTGCCTCTTTTGCTAAAGTGCTGTTACAACCTGTGAGGTTTTTTGAGATTTGTGAAGTCCCTTTGTGAGGTGTAAGTTACATTCCATGAATTCACATTATTTAGAACTGATATTTTTGCTGCAGAGATTGTGTTAATTTTTGCATGAAGTAATGTGTAGGGATTAGACTGGAGCTAACCCTCTGTCATTGTTCAAAGAAAAGCCCTTTATAGCTTTGTGCTGTGCCGTCTCACAAAGACAGCTTTCATCTCTACAAACCTGAGAGAAATCCATGCGTTTCTTCTTTTCCCTACACGACCCTTGTCCCTGGCTGGACACTACTCCTGGGCAGCCCCAGCGGGTGGGTGCCAAGGCATGCAGAGTGCTCTGAGCCTTTGTGCCTCTGCTCCAGCTTCAGCTGGGGCAGGACAGCCCACGGTGCAAGCTGTTGGCCTGGGAGGAGACTCGACGCCCCAGGAAACAACGTTTGATTCCTGGTGGCCATTGTGAAGAATTTAAGACAGATCATGGAGTGTGATTCCCACCCCGTAGCCAATGAGAGGTTGGGTGTTTAGTTCAGGGAGGGTTACGGGTTACACAGCATACAGCTGGCACAGGCACGGCACTTCCCAGCACCCGGCAGAGCCAGGCCTGGCAGTGCACTGGGAGAGACTGGCAAGGAGATGGCCAGGTCAGTCTCAGCAGGAGATCCAGCAGTCTGGAGTGGATTGAGGTGCCACGGGGGTACAACCCAGTGACAGCCCTGGGATCTGGGGGTTTCTCAGGACGTGTGTGCTCAGCCGGCACATCCCCACTGCCCAATACTGTCTGCCTGACAGAGGGGAGAGGGGCACGTGGCGTGGGAAAGGGCCAGGCGGCTCCTTCGCCAGCTCTTGGCATGTGAGGAAAAGCCTTTCAGGAAACACCTGTGGAAGCACCAACACAGAACAAAGCCAGTCCGTGACCTCATCCTGGGTCCGTGGCAGCCCTGTGCTGGCAGCTCCTGGGCAAGCTTGGGAAGCAGGCAGTGCCCCCCAGAGCAGGAGAGGAACCATTCCTGGTCAGGTGGCACAGCAGAAAGCTGCCTGTCTGTCTGTCTCTCAGCCTGTGTGTCTCAGCAGAGCTTGGAGCAGAGATGAGGAAGTGCCCTGCCTTGTGCACATGTGTCATGAGGAGGGACACTGCATGATGCATTCCTGGGGGTGTGTCACACCAAAAGTTGCTTTACAACTTTTCAAAAAGGTTGCTTCTGCACCATTTGCAGACCAAGCAACACTCAAGTTTTCTTGGTTCTCCTCTCATATCAATGGCATGCAGATGGAGTAGCCTACACCATGCAAGGCTGGTCTTGGTGAGATCTGAGCTTGGTTACAGATACAATTTGCCTGGAAAAATTTAAAAGACTTTCAGAGCTGCCCTTCCAAAGAAAGTCCCTTGTGACATAGCAAATATTGTTTCTGTGCTACATGTTTCATAGTCCCCATTAGATGTGTCTAGAAGAGATAGGATTCAGCTGTAATTGTGCTGAGGAGGGGGGAGAGGCCCCTTCAGAACATTATAGCAGGCTGTGGGTGAGCTGGATTTGCCAAAGCTGCGATGGAGGCGATTGGTGCTGGCAGTGCACCGAGAGCAGCAGCCACTGGCTCTGGCTGAGAGGAAGAGCTGGAGAGCTTTGGGGAACAGGAACAATCCTCTCTCCTGTTGTAGCTGCACTTGTCAATGCGTGGGTTAAGGGCCAAGGGCAGGAGACAGCTCCCTACAGACACCCAGAGAAATACAGAATGGATCCTATGGAAGTGGGTGACGGTCAGAAACAACAATGAAAATGACTACAGAGGAATGAAGCCATCTGAACGTAGGACAAGGGCAAGGGTAGCTGTTAATACGTGGGTTTGTGTAGTGAGGACTGCCAGGCAAGGCATTAGAGCAGGTTCAGCCTGCACTCCACAGGCCCATACGAGTCTGCTCTAAGAGGCGGCCTAGGGGTGAGCAGGACCAGCCCCCACGGGCCTCCTGCCTCAGGGCATGTGCTATCTGAGAGGGAGTTACCACTGCCCTGTGGAAGGGTCTTGAGATCATTATTTGTTCTGCCCTGGCTGTCCTGCTCAAATGGAGCAGGGACGTTGCCAGCAGCCTCTCCTGGGGTGCCTGTGAGCAGACACAAGGGCTCAGCGCCACGTGAGTTATCAAAGCCTCCAGCTCATGAATCTCAGGAAGATTTCCAGGGGCTGCAAACACAGATAACATACACGCTAATTTCTGCTGCAAATGGTGAGAGGCAAAGTAACTTCCCCTTTAGTTCCTGTCGTCGCCTCAAGAGATGCAGGTTTTAAGCTTCCTTAAGCAGGGGTTTGGTATTCAATTATATAGACCCAGGTGTCTGTTTTCACCAATCTCAAAGCCATCATCCGGTGGGGCTTTAACATTTTCCTTGCATTTAGGAGGACATGGATCTGGAAGGGCAGAGGTGGTGGGAGAGGGAATGAATGAGAAATTTCCTTTCGTAATGGACCTTGAGCTGTTGCTGGCTCTGGACCCCCCCTGCTGGAAAACTGAAGGGGCTGATGGGATCCTGGGCTTCTGTTTGGCCTCATGTCTCATTTATAGCCAGAATTTAGAGACCACAGAGAGTCACAGAGATTTTGTATTGTCTCACTCCTTAGTGCTTGTACCTCTCCTGCCAGTGAAAGCTTTGCTGTGCTGCTGTTTGAGCCTCACAGTGCTGGATACTTACATGTTCTGAATCAATTCCCATGTGTGGTGTGGAGTATCCAGCTGGGGATTTACTAGGCTAGAAAACAGATTTCCCCTTTGTTTTTAGCTTCCCCTGGTGCAGTCCATAGCTCCCTCGAATGGCCCGAAGGCTGGAGGAACCAGAGTGACCATCAGAGGCAGCAGGCTGGATGTCGGCTCAGAGCTCCGTGTCCTCATCAACTCCTCCAAGCAGTGCACTGACCTCAGGTGAGAGCAGGGCTGGGGGCTGGGGCTGGGGCTGGGCTAGTGACAAGAGACAAAGCATTAGGAAGGATGGTATTGGCCTCCAGGTGGTCAAGCAGGGCAGGTGTTTTGGTGGGGGGCACCACTCCATGCTGGCAGAGCATTCCCCTGCCTGCCCTTTCCCTGTGGCTGTAGGGGAACTGGTCTGGCAGCTGGGATGATGTGTGCTGGGAACTGCTCATTAGCAGGCCGAGTGTAACAGGCAGTTGGCGTGTAACTGCAAGCTTCTTCTCCCCTGTGGCTGCCACCTGCCTGGCTGCCGAGGGGTTGCCCAAGCCCACAGGGCCGGGCTCCAGCCGCTGCCTGTGCCACAGCTCACCTGCCTCTTCCCGCGCAGCCGCACCGACAGCACCATCACCTGCACCATGCCCGCCGCCGAGCTCACCACGGCTGTGCCAGTCTGCGTGCAGTTTGAGAACAAGTCTTGTGTCAGCCTCAACATCACTTTCAAGTATGAGAAGAACCCGGTTATATCAGACATCAACCCCAAAAAGAGCCAAATCAGGTGAGATCCTGCCCCAGCCAAGACAGCCTGTGAATGAGAGGGTCAGTTCCAGGCTGGGGGGAGAGGGTCCTGCTGGGAGAAAGGGGCTTTCCAACCCTGGAACTGGACACATTACCTTGCAGATGGGTACAGAGGGCACTGCAGCTTGCTCTCAGGGTGCTCCAGGGCACCCCAGCACGGGAGTAGAAGAGGTCTCACACACCAGGACTGTCCATAGCTTGTTTTGATGCATTTAGGAGTGGAAAAATGTCAGCCTTAGTACCTGTACCATGCATACCCGGTGGGTGCTTTAGAGAGGTTTCAGGTGGGAGCTTAATGAGACCCTGAGGATTTTTCTTGGCAGTAAAACTGTAGGAGGATAAGATGAGATTTGTACTTTTGGATTTCAGCCTTCTCCAAGGTCACAGTATTTAATTTTTAAAGTGTGTTGCTTTTAATTTCACGTCTCTCTGTGGAGCACTCAGGCTTCTGTTCCTTTGGATATCATAGTGAAATCCCACCCTCCTCAGCTGTGAAGCCTGGAAAATCCAGGGCTGACCAGGAAATCTGGGACGCCAGCAGCTGTGCCGGCAGGACCTTGGTGGAAGCAGCACACCCAGGGGCGAGCACGAGCAGGCTCTGGTGCTCTGATCCTTGGAACAAAGCCGCCTCTCGGCATTCCCAAGCACAGCGCCAAGGCCGCAGGCTGTGGGAATGTTAGTGGAAAGGCAGAGTCATGACTCATCGAGGCTCAGCCCCTTGCAGGCTCCCAACTGCTGAGTGTCGAGAGTGCTGTCTAAAAAGAGACAGGGGAAGAATGTCCCTGCTTGTAGTCACAAGGGAAACCACTGGCATATTTCTCCATCACCTTAGTCTGCTTCCTTACAGCAGTTCCCAAATTTCAGAGTGCAGGGACTGTGACTTCTGCAGCCTATGTGGTGGCTTATGCAGTCTGACTGCTCGCCATGCTGCTGGGCTGTTGACCATGAGGGTGTCAATAACTTGTGTAAAAATTTAGCTGGAACCGATTTCTGTTACCATATTGATAAAATAATAATTCGTATAAACAAAATTTAAACCAAAACAGAAATTGTAAGCTAGTCTGCAGATGTGACAGGCTCCTAGTTAGAAACTTGGATCATAACCACCTGTGATACCCGCAGGCTTCAGAGAACCTTGGGGCCTTACGGCCAAAGTCACTGTGCCTGGAGTGCTCTTCACATAATAGGATTTGTGAGTCCTGACTGTTCCCTGGCAAATACTCTAACCAGGTCAAATATGATATGGAGGAAGGGTTCTCCAGCCCTTGCTCTGCCTTGTGCACATCAGTGCTGCTCGTTCATGTTGTTAGTTGACTGCACAGTGAGAGGCCCATGGGTCACATTTTCCCCCCAGCAGGTACAAAACACAACAACTTTCATATTCTGATCTAAATCAGAAGTTCGTAGGAGATGCAGGATCCCTGTCAGCCTCTAAGGGACTTTCCCCTCTTCAAGCCTCACAGTTCTCTGCAGGTCTCTGAGTGGCAGGGACAGGGGCAGAGTCATGGGTAGGGGCAGGGGATGTCTCCTGCTGCTGGAAGAGGCCCTCCCGCTTTCCACCACAGCATCTGCTCCTCCTTCCTTCCTTCCCTGATACCATGGTAGCAGTGTGGATCCTTACTGTAAGCAGGAAGAAGACTTTGGCTGTTGGGTCACATTTTCTGCTCAAGCAGCTGGGAAACATCTCTGGGAAAAGAGATGAGGACAGGAGGGAGACAGCCATCACACCCTGCTGCTGCACTGTCCTCTGCAGTCATCCTCTCTTTCTTCCCTTCTCCTCAAAGTGGGGGCAGGATCATCACCCTGGAAGGAAGAGGCTTTGGGCTGGTCCAGAACGTGTCCATGGCTGTCCGTGGCATCGGCAGAGAACACACGGTGGGTGTCCTGGCTGGGTGTGGCCCGGTGACAGAGTGGGGCTGTGTGTCCACTGCCAGAGGATGGCTGGGCTGTGCAGCTGAGGCCTCAGCCCACGCCTCAGGATGGGCTGAGAGCGCTCGCAGTGCTGGGTTCTGATGTTCTCGCGCTCTCCCTCTTGCAGTGCTGTAGGGTTCACACTGACACCACGATCACCTGCCCCTCTCCAGCTGCCTCCAACATCACTGTGGGGAGCAAGCCTGCCCCTGTCGACTTCTACCTCAATGGGCGCCTCTACACAGATGACCGCCCAGCTCTGGATGAGGAGATGTACCCTGAGGAGGCCCTGCACTTCAGCAAGTTCAGCCTGGAGTACTATGCTGACCCCCAGTTCTCCACAGCCAAGAAGGAGAAGTGGATCAAGCACCATCCTGGCGAGCCCTTAACTCTGGTCATACATGTAAGAGAGTGGTTGTTACAGCTCTGCTTCTCTCGGGGTGCTGCCTGCTCCCCCATGGGCAGCTCCACAGTCCTGAGTACCAGTGCAGTGACCGTCCACAGGGAGAGGAGAGAGAAGTGGGTAGCTGGGGACTGGAGAGGCAGGAGCATGTGCTTCAGGCTCAGCATGCTGCTCCTATGTGTCTCTGTCCCAGGAGATGCAGCCTGGCCTGAGGATGCCCTCTGAGACAGAGCTGCCTGGGAGAGTGTCATAGCATGAGACTAAATGAAATACTGGATGCTAGAAAAAGAATGACCATGCACTGGCCTGAAACAAGGCAGGTGCTGCAGACGAGCCTGACAATAGGTGTTTATTCCTGCAGAAACAGATCATGCATTCTTTTGTTTTGACTACTGAATTCAGCTCAGCTCACAAGGAAGTCAGGGTGCAGCAGTTGAGTGGCCTGGACGATGAGCAATAGTAATTCAAAGGCCATTGTTCACTGCAGGATATCCTCCCTGCCTGCAACGTGCTCCAGAAATGTGCTCCCCCTTTCTCAGGCTCCACAGGCGCATCCCCTGGCTGTCCCCTCTGTTGTACATCCTTCCCCCTCCCAGGTGGGCGCTTACATCTTTATCTTCAGTGCACAGCAGGCCAGATCAAAAGCAGATTTTTCCAGGTTCCATGAGGGGCTTGCTCATCCCATTGCCCTATGCTGAGTGAGGAATGGGAAACAGGAAAACGGGGAATGGCCTGGTTCTGGCTTTCCTGTGGATTGCTGGAAAAATGTCCTTGGTGAGGGAGAGTCTTCCCAGGTCTGCAAAACAGTGGGGAATATGGAAAGTAAAGCAGGAAGATCAGTTGCAATTCCAGCTGCTGCTCTGCAGCCTGACATCCTGATTCTATTTCTGTCTTTAGAAGGAGCCTGACAGCCTGGGCCTGGAGAGCAATGAGTACCAGGTGAAAATCGGCCTGATCTCATGTGAGATCCAGATTGTTTCAGACAAAGTCATCCACTGCTCCGTCAATGAGTCGCTGAGCACCTCAGAGAGGCAGTTGCCTGTGACGGTGAGTTCCAGAGCCCCCGCACTGGGGGCGTGTAGGGCAGAGGGGTCCTGCTGCAAGCCCTGTGCGTGAGGGACCTGCCCAGCTCACCCACTGGTGACCCCGCACAAGGCTGCACAGATGGAAGGGTGCACAAAGCACACTGTGCTGGCAGCTGTCCCGGGGCAGCTGGTCAGTGGGATGGAGGCTGCCCAAGTTGTGGTGAGGGGCTACCACGCTCCAAGTCATGGGACACGGACAGTTGCCTGCTGAGGTGCTGCACTGTGCCAGGGGGAGGTGTGGCAAAGGGATCCAGAGGGAGGTTACTCAGTTCTGCTGGGGCTTGGTGAGGTCTCAGGCATGTGAGGTTTTGTCACTTGCAGTGATTTTCCGTCCCCCATGAGATATGTTTGGGGAATTCCTTACAACTTTCAGCTAGCTGCTCTGCTCCCACCAGCAGAAGGGCCACAAATGGCTGTGACAGTCTGACCCTCACCAAGCTGGGTCCCTGCATGTGACCAGGAGTGTGAGAGGAGTACCAGGGCCGGACAGACTCATGTTGCTTCCAAGGGCTGCTGCTTTGTCACTGCAAAGACTTCGGTATTCAGGGCTTTTGTTCCTCTTTGTGTCTGCAAAATTCACCATGCTTTGGTGCTGCCCCGTTTTCCAGAGGGCTTGTCTGAAGTGCTGTGCTCGCCCTCAGTTTCCCTCATGTCATATGCAGTCCGTTGCCATCCAGGGATGTGACTGGCTCTTTGTATCTGAGAGAAAATGCCTCCACCTCTGTGGTCTGAGATGCTGCTGCCCCCTTCCTGTCCTTGTGTTGGCAGGGTTAGGGTTGGGGATGGGTGGGAGCCCGTAGTGTGGGCAGGGAGGAAAAGGAAGGCTGAAGGGACTTGAGGAGCTGTGGACTTGAGCAGCCCAGAAGAAAAGCATGAGGATGAACCACCAGTTTGCTGACAGGGTTGTCCAGTTTACTGGCAACAGTTTGAGGTATATGAAATTCTGTTGCAAACTGGAAATGTGGTAATGCAGAAGTAGCAAAATTTCCCAAGTAATTTTAATGGAAATTTTAAACGGGGTAATTTTTTTTTTTTAAAGAACTGAGAAACAGGGAAATCCCTTTGGGGAAGAAAAGGAATTTATGAGTTTGCTAGTCTTGGAGTGACATAAATCATTCAGGACAGTGCCTTAGTGGGTCCCCAGGAAGCAGGAGAATGATACCCAGACCTAAATATCACAAGACTGTTCAGAGTGCACCAGCAGTGAAAGTGCAGCTAAATAATCTGCTTGTATTCACACCTGTGCACCCTTGCTAAACCTTCAGACATGGTTCAGACCATCTCTGCCATCTCTTCCATGGGTGACTGCTGCTTTATAACACACTCAATGGCTTTGGTGACACAGGGCAGGTGTGTGCAACGGTCCCTGTCTGGGTCTTACTAAGTATTGAGTAGACCTGTCCAGATACACAAGCTTGTCAAGGCCTTCAGACCCATCTTTGTTCATGACCAAACTGTTTAAACACTGAATTAAAGAGCAGGCATGGGATTTCTCCTCTGAAAAATGCAAAACTTTGAGTTGATGGGGGAAAAAAAAGACTGAAATCATGTTGAGGAGCAGCCTTATTGCAACATTTCAGAGGGAAGATGTGGAGATCCCCGGGCTGGGCAGGTGGCTGTGAGACTGCTGAGCAAACCTGCCCAGATGCTTGTGCAGTGCTGTGGCTCCTGTCCATGTCCAGCACCGTGGTTCTCAGACAATGTACCAGAGTGGAGACCAAAGCTCTCCCTGTCCGGAGCCTTCTGCTGGCAGTAGCTGTGCCTGTGCCAGTGCTCCCAGAGCCAGGGCTGGATTTTCCAGAGGATGGAACTGTGTGCGATGTGGCGTCTGGTGATGGAGGTGATGAGAAGGCCCCACTTTTGGCACAGCTTTGGCTCAGCGACTGAGAATTCCAGCTGCTGGAATTTCAGGTGTTACACCAAAGGTGCCCAGGGGGCACTTTCCCAGAGGTTCTCTGTGACACAGATGTTATCATAAGATTATTCCAGCTCTTCCCTACCTTGTTTCAGGGTTTTTTTGTTCAAGTTTCTCTCACTTCTCATTCCTTGAGAGAAGTGAAACTCACATTTCCAGAAGTGAAAGCCTTGTGTGGTCATGAGTTTTCCTTATCAGATGATGCTGTGAAATCCTTCCATCCCAAGGACCCAAAGAGCTGTTTGTAAATGATGCCCAGTAACTTGCCAGCCTGTGATGTGTGCTGGCCTCTTCCCTTCTGGAGATCAGGAGACCCAAAGACTGAGCTCAAGTGGTTTGTGCTTGGTGTCACAAGAAGTACAAGCTGGGAGCAGAGCCAGCACCTCCTGACACACTGTTCACTGTTTTGGCCACAAGATAATTACTCCTCTATGGTCTCATTATTATTTATTTTTATTCCCTTAGTTTATTTGTATTTCAAGGACTTGAAAATTTCTTAACCCTCCTTCTCCTGGGTGGCAGCAGTTCTGCTTTAAGAGGAGAAAGGCTAGTGCAGCTGGGATCCAAAGTCTGTTCAGAGCCGTAATGGAAGTCGATGATTAGTGGAAGTGGTTTTCTAGTAGAGCAGCACAGGCAGTCCTGTACAGTGCCATGGGCTCTCTAGGAAAGGGCTGTCTCATTCTGGGGTGGGTATGGTGAGGCTGTGTTGTTGGCCTGCAGCTCTGCCACTGAAGCCCCACAGTGGCCCTGGGATGGGCACTGCTGCAGCATCGTAGCCTGCCAGGAGCAGCCTCAGCAGCCCCAGGAGTTCAGGAGGTGAATTGGGCTCCCTTGAACACACAGAGTACCCAGGTCTGGCAGTGAAAGGCACAGCCTGGCCCCCCGTGGAGCCCAGGGGGCTGCGCCAGTGTGGGCAATGCGTCCTTGGGCGAAGGTCTGCTGAGCCCTGCCTGTGTCCCTCCCTGCTCCCAGCCCCTTGGCAATGTACTGCTCATCTCCTGCTTTTCCTCCCTCCTTCTCCCTTTCCAGATCCAAGTTGGAAAGTTCAACTACACAATTGCGATGCTGCACCTTGGGGGAGGAGAGACCGCAATCATTGTCTCCATCGTCATCTGCAGCATCCTGCTGGTCCTTTCTGTTGTAGGTAAGGGAAAGAATGATGCATTCCGAGGCTGTGCCGGGGTTTTTGTCATTGCGTGTGGAGTGGTGAAGGTGACTCCAAGTGCTGCAATTATGCAGTACCTGAAGTTGGTCTGGGTGCAGCAGGTAGCTGCTGTTTGTATGGCACGCAGCCAGTACCAGCACCAAGGCTCCACAGTTCCCTGCAGCACGGAGCTTTTGCTGGCTGAATCTGCAGCTCAACTCTGTTACTTGAGCCTGTGATATTCATAAACTTACCCTTTTCTCCAAAACCTTAGTAGCTACTATAATACAAAATAAAGAAGAATGTGAGAAACTGGTCTTGGGCTCCTGCTGACTCACAGGGCTCACTCACAGGCATGACTGTCCCAGATCATCCCAGAGGTGCTCCTAGCCCGAGGTCCTGTCATCAGGAACAGGCAGTGACAGGTACCTGGCAGAGTAGGAAGAGCAGAGCCTGCATTCTTAGCTGCGGGTGTGGAGAAGGCACACCAGTGTGCGACCCTGGGTGGAAGCTGTGCAGCACACTTCTGTTCTTGGGCTGGGGTACCTGCTCATTGCTTGCCCAGCACCACCGTGCAGCAAGAAACGTGCCAGTTCACAGCAAATGAGTGGTTTCTAATGGGGATTTAATTTATTTTTAATAAAGGCTGTAATGCACACTATTTATTAAATGCACCACCCATCATTAGAAACATATTTCTGGAGGCATGGGAAGAGTGTCGGACATGAACACTGTAATACAGGTGGTAAACATCCTGTATTCTGTATCCATTAATCAACTGGAACACATTAGTATACAGTTAGCTGAATACAGACAGCCCAGACCTAAACTGAAGATGACAGTTACAGCATGATCATTATATTCCAGCTGGTTTTACTTATTTACAGATAAATCGACAGCCGCCTGAGTAGATACCAGACTGGTGGTAGGTGTGAAACCAACTTTGGGTTTAGCTTTCTGCACCGTGTCAGAGGGAACCTCTCTGATCCCAGCTGCAGCTACTCCTGAGTCCAAAAGGCTTGTTCCCTTTCTCTTTTCCAGCACTCTTTGTGTTCTGCACAAAGAGCCGCAGAGCTGAGCGCTACTGGCAGAAAACCCTGCTCCAGATGGAGGAGATGGAGTCGCAGATCCGGGAGGAAATCCGCAAAGGTAAGTCACCGTCTGGGCACCGAGGAGGACCCAGGGCTAGAAGGGGGATGCTGGGATAGCATTCACCTTCTGTGCTGTAGAAGTTTATAGGATTATTTATAGGAAAATTTCTGTCATTGTCTATGAGCTTCAACAGGGCTTGGGAATGAGGCTCAGTGGCTGAAAGTGTGGCTTTGCTGCTGTCCTGCTGCCTGCCTTGGGCAAGCCACTGATCTGCAGTGCAACCAGCTTCCCTGTCCTGGAGTTAATGGCCCCTAGCTGTGCCAGAGGTTTGCTTGAAGGCCATGCTAATCTTTAGTGTGGGTGCAACAGAAACTGCAGCACACTCCTGCTAGAGCAATGAGAGAAGTGATCCAGGCGTCAGCACCTGCCGTCCCACAGTCCATGACCCCATTGCGTCGGCTGAGGTCCCATCCTGTGGGAACTGCCTGCCCAGCCCCATGGTACTGGGTTCCTGGGGCAGGAATGTTCTGTCAGCGCTCGGGACAAGGTTTACAGTGCTGATGGTTAAACCCCGGTGGGAATCTGCTGCTCAGAGAAAACCCAGCTTCAACCCCCACAAGGGAACAGCTCAAGGAGGCGGAGATGAGACGTGCTGTGTTTCTGGTGCCAGCCTGTCTTGCCTGGTGGAGGATTGGGCTCTCACCATCTGCGGGTCTCTTTGTGCAAGGTTTCGCGGAGCTGCAGACAGACATGACAGACCTGACCAAGGAGCTAAACCGCAGCCAAGGGATCCCCTTCCTGGAGTACAAGCACTTTGTCACCAGGACGTTCTTCCCCAAAGTAAGGAGACAGCGAGTGTCACGGGCACCTCATAGCACTGAGGTCCTTCCCAACCAGATCAGGGCTCTGCTGAAGGGCTTTTACAGTGTCACAAAATCATTCCACTGTTATATATTTACTTGTCATGTATTTCAGCCTCAATTACCATCAAAAGTGGAGCCACAGCTCCTGGGGCATCAAGTAAGGTCGGGGTTGCTTGCACATGACATAGCCTGGCAGTGGCAGTGTCCTGGGAGCCATTGGACACCCTCTTCTGGAAGAGCTCTCACATGAGCAGAGTTCTGGGGACTTCTCCTTCTCCCCAAGGGCTCCAGAGTCACCTCATTCCATTCTGTGGAGATTGAAGGGTGGCTGAAGGGTGAATCTGCCATTGACATTCAGGGAGAGGGGATTTCTATTCCAGCAGGGAATTCCTGAGCATTCCCAGCAGCTCAGCCGGTCCTCAGGAGCTCTTTGGACATCTCTGTCTCTCCCTTTCCTCCCTCCCTGTGCAAGTTGGGTGCCTGGTGCTCCCAGTAAGATGTCCCTTGGGTACCCAGTCCCAGTCTGTCTGCCCAGAGTCCTTCTGCAGGGCGGCACCAGACACGCTGGTGCCGTCATTCCCATCAGTGGCTGCCCTGCCGCGTCGCTGTGCGCCCTTCCCCACAGCTGTATGTCACCCCTGAGGCAGTTGTGTGTCGGTGCTGAGGAGTGAGATGATGCTTTATGACTGCAGAGTGTTTCATTAGTAGCTATTACTCAGGTTTTTCAGTTATCCACTCTCCATATCTCTGCACACTAGAGGCTTTAAGATTCAGGCTGCTATATGAATGTTAGAGATTTAAACATTTTTCCCATCTGTTTCAAAAGTTACATATGTTAAAACACCCAGAACTCCTCTATTTTGATTTCGTCTTCTATAAAGCTTGCTCTTCTGGGAGTTTTCTAGCTGTCACATTAGTCTATTTGCAGTCTCCCTGCCCTAACAGCCTTGTGTCTGCGCAGATGTCTGCCTCTCCCCATCCTTGTGATGTTTGCTCATTCAAGAGGCTCTTGCAAAGTATTTTAAGGCTTCATAAACTATGCAAACCATCTTTGTGATGGGTGGTCTTAGTCCCAATGACATGGCTCCCATCTTGTTCCCCTGAGGTGCACAGCACACAGGGAGTCCCCGGGCAGGTGCACTGCCCTCCCCTAACACTGTGCTTGGTTCCAGTGTTCCTCTCTCTACGAGGAGTGCTACGTCCTCCCATCCCAGCAGCTCAGCTCACAGGTGGGCTCCCAGGTCCAGGAAACACATCCGCTCCTGGTGGGGGAATGGAAGGTGAGTAACCCAGTAACAGAACAAACACTTTTGGGTGTTGCTAACCATCAACACAGAGCAGCATTGGATCAGCTTTGGCTGATCAGAGAAGGCAGATCTATGGATCTGCTCTTGCATGAAGGAGCGTTGCCCTGGGATCCTTCCTGGCTCTGCTGAGGGCTCTTCTTCCTGAGATGTGTCATGCTGTGTATCACTTCAGCCTCAGTCACAGTTCCTCATAAGTGAGATTCCTCCTTTTACCAAGCAGTGACTTGGTAAAAGCTGCTGTTGTCCCAGAGCTGGGTTTGAAGTGGACAGGGAGTAGGGATTGAAGAGTCAGAAAGTTGCTAAGGTTGGAAGGGAGATCTGCTTAAAGCATCCCCAACTAGATGAGTTTTCTGAGGGCCTCATCCAACTGTACCAAATATCCTCAAGGACAGAAATCCCACAGCCTCCTGGGGCCTTATTCCAGTGTATGACACCCTTAAAGGTGAAAACTGCCTTCCTTATATTTAGTCAATGTCCCATGCTCCATCTGGTATCCTTTGCCTCTCATCCTGGCACTGCGTTGGCAGAGAAGAGCCTGGCTCTGTCCTCTCTGCCCTGCCACGGGGCAGCTGAGGCTGCAGTAAGATCTCCCATTAGGACTTCCGAAGGCCGACCAAACCCCGCCCTCGTCACCTCTCCTGTACCACCCATTAATTTTTTTGCCAGTCCTCAGCTGCACTTGCTCCATCTGTCTCATAGTGGGGAGCCTCAAACTGACCACAGTGCTCCAGGTGTCCTGGTGAGCTCTGAACTGAGTGCAGGGGCCATTACCAGTGCCCTGCTGTGGCTCAGCTGCATGTCCCTTGCCAGGGAAACTGTTGGCTGTGTCAGGCAGAGGGAGGAAGGGCACTTCTTCTCAGTACCTCTGTGCTCAGTAGGGACATCCCTGCAGTCAAGGGGGATAAAAGCTGGAGGAAAACAACAAGTAGGGTTTTCTCACTCTTGCTTTCTAAATTTTTTTTCAGATCCCTGAGAACTGCAGACCCAACATGGAAGAAGGAATCTCGCTGTTCTCCACCTTACTCAACAACAAGCACTTCCTCATCGTGTTTGTCCATGCTCTTGAGCAACAGAAGGACTTTGCTGTCAGAGATAGGTATGAGCTTCAAAACCAAAGACCTGGCAGCTGGAGGAGACTGATTTCTTCCTAACCTGTAGCAATCCAGCCGTTGTCTGGGGCCATGCATTTCAGTGGATGGTTGAGTTACACTTGCCTCCCACTTTTCTATTAGAAATGGATGGCCATAAACCCTAAAGAGCACTCACTCATTTGGCTTACCAGTAAGAGAGTGCAAGCTGACCCAAGGTCCTGCAGCACTGGAAGAGTGTTGAAACTTCTAACACCATTGAGAAAGGTCATGAAAGTTGTCTGAGAGACTGCCTTTTTGTGCTAGGCTTTTTAGTGCCAGTTAGCAGTTCAGTCTTGTTGGACTGGGGCTTGAGTCCTATACGTTCTGTGTTTCAGGTGTAACCTGGCCTCCCTGCTTACAATTGCACTGCATGGGAAACTGGAGTATTACACTAGCATCATGAAGGACCTCTTGGTAGATCTAATAGATGCTTCAGCTTCCAAAAACCCCAAGCTGATGCTGAGAAGGACGGAATCGGTGGTGGAGAAGATGCTCACCAACTGGATGTCTATCTGCATGTACAGCTATCTCAGAGTAAGAGTGCCAGTCACTGCTGCAGTGGGTGCTGGGTCAGCTCTGTGTGCAACAGTGATGAGGGATGTGGGGACAGCCAAGGACCTGGTACCTGCCAGCAGTGCCACTTGAACGGTCACTAACTGTTGTATTGAAAAGTTCAGGTGTGAAAAAGCAACCTGAAATTCAGTTGCTTCTCCCCTTCTGCCCAGGGCTTTGGTGAGCTCAGGCTTCATGGCAGGCCAGAGCACAGACCGATGTTTTCACTGTGCTTGAGAAGAGCCATAGGGGAGCTGAGAAATAACCAGAATGGCTGGAGGTTTGGGAAAGCACCTGGTTTCGTGTTGTTGCTGTGACCAGCTGACACAGGCCAGCAGGGTCCATCGCTGGCGTGGAAGCCCCAGTAGTTGGGAGGACCAGGAGTGTCAGGACAGGAGCTGCTCCGTGTCAGTGCCCGTTGGTGTGTGGGGCCTCTCAGGCAGAGGCATCCTTGTGGTTCCACACAGATCCGAGCAAGAGAAGGTGGGATGTCTGTCCCAGAAGCCTGACTGTCTTCCTGACTGTGATAAAAAGGAAAATGTTTGGCATCTCAGAGCCATCAGCAGTCCATCTGCTCAGTGCTTTATCTCCAACATTTGCCAGTTCTGTTTGGAATTTCCCAGAAGAATTGAGCAATAACTTAATTGATTCCATGGCAGTTAATTGGAGGACACCCCATTATACCCACAGGGGAGAGCCTTGAAAAAGCCTTTGAAAAAAATCTCTTTTCCCAAAGTGTTTTCTACAACCACAGAAGAAATTCTTTATTGTTCTCGTACATATCATGATGTCTTCTGATCCCAGCTGATGATCACTTTTTGTCCTAAAGCCTATGGTTTTGTAGTTCATAATCTTTCATTTTAGCTCACATAATTAGCCAGTCTAATGAAAGAAGAGTTACAGGAGTGGATGAGGATGGCTGTGTCAATGTGGCACTGCTATCCAGACTGTAAGAGCAGAAAAGAGGGAATTAGTGAAATTTTTTAATCTTCAGATTTTGTGCCTTTAGTAAACGATTGGAGAAAAAGAAGTGCTGATCTCTCCTTTTGGGGAGTGGAGACCACATGTGAGGCATCTGATCCAGCTCCAGCCTGTGCTAAAAATGGACATTGTGCAAGAAGGCTTTCTCAGGGAAGAAAAAAGAGGAAAGAAAGTGGAGCTTTATCACGTGGGCCCGAAGGCTTGGGCACGTTACGCAGCTCATTAATGGTGAGGAGCTGCACGTGCAGCACGCTGCCCGTCCCTGGGGTGCTGGGTGGGAGCTGCCCATCCCCACGTGGTCCAGGACCATGGGGTGGCCTGTGGCTGTCCCCAGGGCCGGGCAGTGCTGGTGGGAGCTGTGAGCTGGCTTCCCCCTGCTCGTGGCCCCACCTGCCCCACAGAGGGAGGACGAGGATGGAGTCTGATGGGAGCAGGTCTGTGAGGTGACTGGGCCCTTTGCAGAGCTGTCAGGCCACTGGCTGAATGTGCATTTCCATCTACCCACAGCGAGTCCTCAGCACAGTCTAAGGCTGCATGGTGGGCTTGCAGTCCCCTCCACACCTCCCATGCCCAGCGTGAAGCTATGGCAGTACAGAGCATCACCACAGCTTATTTCCCATTTCCGAACTAGAGCATAATAAAGTTATTTCCAAGAGAATGATATCACACATGCTCCACAGTGATCAGGGACCTGATCAGAGGAGATACCGAGCAGCTGCTGAAATACGGAGAGGGAAAAGAATTGGTCAGACAGGAATGACTGGAGAGGCCGCTGCACTGTCACAAGGTGACACAAGCCAAGCTGTGCAAGGGGACAGGGGCTCGATCCGGATCAGCAGAGCTGACACTTTCCCCCCCACATGAATGAGGACAGAGCCCCTGCGGTGGGACAGACGGCACCTCCTTCCACACGGCTGGTGTCAGCTCGGGGCTGTGATTTAAATACTAGTGATAGCCAAGCGCCTCCCATGTGCCTCCCGTTCCTCAGGATCAAACTCGGCTGCCTTCAGAGAGGCATTTCTTGGTTAAAAAGAAGGCTGCCCGCCTGCCTGTAGCACTGCTCTGTCAGACGTGTGACGATGGGTCTGGTTTTCATTCCTGAATTATCCCCATTAATCACAGTGTCTATTCGAAACAGCTGCTGCAAAAGTCCCTGCCGTCGTGCGGTGGAAAAATTCCAACTGCTTGTATTTTCCCTTGTAAGTCAACGCTACATGCTTGAAACATTTGTTTCGCATTAATGCTCTGCCTAACAGCCCGTCCATTTGTGTTTCGGGGGAAAATGATTTGAAGGAGCTGTCTTCAGCTGGGAAGGAGCTGCCAGCCACAGGCACTCATGGTCTGCCCATGTGGAGGGCACCTGAAGGCAGTGAAGTCACCACTGATGGGAGCTGGCTCGGTGCGTGAGGGAATGGGATGAGCCAGCAGGGGCTTTCTGTGAGGGACAGGGCTCAGAGGGAACTTGCAGGATTTGCACAATCAGTGCAGAACTCTGTTTCTGCAGAACTGAGTGAGAATCGCAGATAAAATGGTCGGTGTTTTTATTTTGTGCTACAGTTTTGGTTAAAATAACTGAAAAAGAAAGCCTTTCCCATGAGATACCGTGGTATCTCACTGCTGTGCTTAGTTCCTAACAAGATCAGGGGACTGGGTGTTAAAGGAAAAGTAAGACCCTGGAATTCAGTTTTTACATCTGGGTCCAAGATTCCCCAAGTTTTGCGTGTGGGATAGCGCTGAGGTTTGGTTCTTCGCAGAGTGCAAAGTTATTTGTCCCAAAATTAACAGGCACTTGGGATAAGCAGCTGTTTTCTGTGCTTTTCCCACCCCAGCCTCACCAAAACATTTTGGAAATGGCTGTAGCATGTTCCTGGGAGGACATATATAATGACTTGTCGGAGTTGTGTTAATAGGGCAGCAACATGTGAATCCAGTCTGTGCTCTAAACCTTTTTATTTTCCCAAGCATATAAAAATGAAGCCCTCCCACGCTCCTCGTGCGTGGAACAGTTCAAGTCCTGCCAGCCTGAACTGTGCTTTCCATTACTGCAGAGTTATTTCGGTGCCCTGGGTAGCTTTAAGAGCCCATAACAGTTCAGTCAAAAATGAAAATGAAGTCTCATTAAAATACATTCACAATAGGAGGAAAAAAGGCCCCAGACTGTGTTTTTTTAAGTATTTTTTTTGTCCTGAATCAGCACTGATCTCTTCTGGTTAAACTTCCTTTCTCCCAACTAGCCAAATCCAAAGACAGTTTTGATTCCTTTCCAGATGAGTTTTCTGAACAATGCAGGAGGTTTCCAAGTTTGCCAATTTATCTCTAGTCCCTGCCTGCCAGCCCTTCTTTCCCTGCTTTGAAATTTGCTGTCTGATTAGCACTTTTGCAGATTTCCGTAACATCCCACAGTTCCTGAGCCTGAAAGCCAGAAAGCCAAACAGAAATAGCATCTCTCCAGCGGAGCGCTGTCACTGTGTCCCCTGTGGGGGACCTGGGGCTGATCCTGCCCGTGGGCACAGCAGCGGGTCTGTGATGACCCCCAATGCCCACCGTGCCAGAGCACCCACCCTGCCACTGCCAGGGCAGCTTTATGTGTGCAGGACAGTGCCGCAGAGTCAGCCCCCACCCGTGCAGCCTGTGCTCGTCTCAAGCCATAAAGAGCTCCTGTATCAGTAGGACTTGCCCTTTTTTAATGGTTGTGGAGGCACTGTGGAGCTGCTGGCTGCCCCCTCGGGTCTCCCTGAGGCCAGAGCTGCCCATGGCAGAGACAGGCAGGCTCCAGAGCCTGGCCCCGAGTTTGGCCTCGGGTTTGTCCTTGCTCACGTGCGGCACAAATGGAGTTCCTGTTGGTAGTACAGCCTGTGTTGGGGGCTGTTGACCCTGCGGGTCACCATATGGGGACAGTGGTACTGCAGCATGAGGAGGTCTCCATGTCGGTGTTGTCCCCTTGCTTGTTCTTTTATGCTTCTGCCTTTCTCTCCAAAACAATCTCTCTGTGTCTTTTGACACATTCTCCACTCTTTGCAATCTTCAGCTTCTCCACCTCCGTGACTCACCTTCCTCTATGCTCTGAAGCCGTGCCTTCCTCCATTCCAGCACCTGCAGCCCTGCTGCTGAGCCCATTTTGTGCTGCCTGCTCAGAGGAGCATTGCAGGAATCATTAAACCCTTGCAGCAGACCTGGGGAGCTTCCCTGCGTTCCTGAAGTTTCCCTTGGAAAGGAAGTGACTGCCTGGCTGACACAAGACAGCGTATGCCCACCCAGAGCCCCCTGCATCACCATATCATCAACCGCGCCAAATGCAGCACATCCAAATTGACACTGAACTAATTGCTTTAGCAATTACAGGGCAATTAGAATAAAAGAATCACCAAGTTTTAATTAAGAAGCAGATTGAACAGGATTTAGCAGCTCCTAGCTGAGAAATATCAAAACCGTTGGGTATCTGTTGTCTTGAGCAGGCTCTCAGATGGCAGGGCTCCGTGTGCCGGGGGGGGATGCTCCCATTACATAAATGTGCAGAATTTGCACTTGCCTCATTGGAAGAAAATTGAACATGAACATTAGGGAGAATGGGATGTACTGCAGTACTGAAAAGTTCCTTAAAAAAATAGCTTATGTTTTCCTTGCACATCAGTGCATCAGGCAGAGGTGGATCGGAAATCTGGCATTAAGCTGTGTAGCTGAACCACATAACAAATAGGTGCTCCCTGTCATGTTTTTGGTTTTTGCTGCAGCAGTGACACAGTTCACCTCTCTCCCATGAGCTTAAGTTTGATGAATGTAAGGAGTTAAATGATGTGTTTACTTGCTGTCGCATGGGAACAGCTTGTTGACCCGGATCCTCTCTGTTTTGCTGTGATGAGGGCTTTGCTGTGGTATGAGAAGTATGAACACTGATTCCCAGAGCCACAGACCGAGGCCATGGGCTCACTCCTTTGGAGTTCAGTGGCAAAGCAGGCAGTGCAAAGAGGGGTTCATCTGACATATTTACGAGAAAGCCAGATGCTGCAGACCTGGAGTTTTGTGCATATCAGCCCTTCCTTGTCCTGCTGAGTCCAGCATGTTGTACAGTCTGCACCCTTGTCAGAGTTCAGGAAGCATCTCTGTAGCACAGTGTGTCAGATTCTCCATGAAGTTCATCTGTAATTTCACATGTAAATTAATGCACATTTGTATTTTGCCAAGCATGGTGTGTGCACATCCCCGCTCAGCACAGCCACGCATTTGCCCCTGCCTTCTGAGCAGCACCTGAGCTCTGCCCACCAAACAGCACAGGCTGGCCCAGCCTGTCAGTGACATTCCACAGCTCCAGTGCTTGCTGGAGAACTTGGATGGAGTATGTTGATGCTGACAATTACAGCATCCCCAAAAATGGCCTGCGGCTGTTGTCGGCTGTTTTGTCCTCTTCCCCATCTGCGTTGTCACGGTGCCATAAGTCTGAAAACTTCTGAGCAGCCTCGGAGAAATGCTGGTGGGAGCTGGGGGTGATGGCACCCACTGGGCATTCACAGCACCTGGGGTGGGCTGTTCCTGCTCCTCAGTATGCGGAGGCACTTTCAGTGTCCGTGCAGAGCCTGTCCCTGCCACGTCGCTGATGGAGACACCACCACTGCGTCCTGTTTGCTGACTTGGTCTTTCCTTTCTCCAGGAGACGGTTGGAGAGCCCTTCTTCCTGCTGATCTGTGCCATCAAACAGCAGATTAACAAAGGTTCCATCGATGCCATTACAGGAAAAGCCAGGTACACCCTCAACGAGGAATGGCTGCTGAGGGAGAACATTGAGGCAAAGCCAAGGGTGAGTACCCACGTACTGGAGCTGTGCTCAGTATTTGGGTCTGCACAGCTTGTATGACGAGGAGGAACCTGGACAAAAAGAGGAGAGGGTTTCTGATAGCAAGAGTTGCTCTCATTGCCTGCAGCTTTTGGCTGCAACCTAGGTGGTAGCTGTGCCTCCCTGAGCTCTGAGCAGGCTTCTCTGGCAGCCTGCAGCCCCTCACAGCTGCCTGTCTCGCTGTTCGGTAGTTCTTGAGCTGGTTACTGGTGGTGCTGGCAGTTGGCTCCAGCAGCGCAGTAGACCCATCCTGTTTAGAGGTCATTTCAGCAGTGGAGCTCAGCCCATTGCGTCAGGCAGAGGCTGAGCAATGAGCCTTGGCAGCCACATTAGTCACCAATTGAAGCCAAGCGGCTGAGGAGATGGCTGGTGATGGGGTTTGACCCTTCCTCCCGCCCTGCAGTGGTCTCTGCGTCAGGGCCAGGCCCCATTAGCAAGACTGCATGAGGGGGGGCTGTGGTGTCGCTCCCTGTGTCCTCCTGGCTCCATCAACAAACAGGGCCCTCAGCCCCCAGGGCTGTAAATCAGCACCTCTCATGCTGTAAAGCCTCAATGGCCACATTAGTTCAGCCTGATTTCCATCAGCACGCGGCCCAGGGCACACCAGCCAGAGCTGTGTAGGCACTGCAGCCTCCGAGCTTCCTTGGGAGCCAGCGGGACCCGGCAGGTCACCCCTAATAACAGCCTCTGCCTGCAGAACCTCAACGTCTCCTTCCAAGGCTGTGGGATGGACTCCCTGAGTGTCAGGGCCATGGACACGGACACACTCAGCCAAGTGAAGGAGAAGATTCTGGAGGCCTTCTGCAAGAACGTCCCCTACTCCCAGTGGCCAAGGGTGGAAGACGTTGACCTTGGTAAGGACCAGCCAGTCCGTGAAACCAGATGAAGCACCTGATGTTGCACAGCAGCTGTTGGTGCCTGTCAGAGCAGTGGGTGAAGCAGTGCTGACAGGGGGCAGACATCAGGGCAGCCTTTCGGTCCCTGGAACCTCAGGCCCCCTGGCACCTGCCTCCTTCGGGCTGGGGTCTCACTTCTCCCCTCTCTGTGTTCAGAGTGGTTTGCCACCAGCACCGACAGCTACATCCTGCGGGACCTCGATGACACGTCGGTGGTGGAGGATGGCAGGAAGAAACTCAACACATTAGCACATTACAAGGTAAAGCTGCCGGTGCCGCAGGGGAGCTTCACCTCCTTGGAGCCTGCCTGGCCTCCGGGGAGAGCTGCAGTTCCCCTCCAAAAACAGGATCATCAGGAACAAGCAGGGAGGTTGCCATAGCTCCGTGAGAGCTTCCAGGGAATAGACATCTGCCCTGGCGAGCATCTCGTTAATATTGCAACACACAGAAACTAATTAAACACTCTTCATGCAAAACAAGTTATTACTGACAACAGAAAGAGGAGGGGAAAAACCTCCTATTCCCAAGGGCCACCAGCCTGGCTGATTAGTATCACTCTGCTCTTGATCCGCACTCCTGCTGAAATCACAGCTACGACTCAATGCCTGCCCTGAGAGCAGAGGCTGGGGATGCCATCCAGGAGCTGAGGCCAAAAATGCGGGGATATGTGGTGAATCAGATTGTTTCCTTGACTGTTTTTGTGTTAAAATTAAATGAAACCAGAAATATTTACATGATTTCCATACTCCCTGGTATGCCTAGGAGCATAATCCTCACTGGTCTGTAGCTGTGCACAGAAAACAAAAGCGGAGCTGAGAGCTCGTTAATATGGTTATCGGGGTAACGCTGCCATGGTACCCTGTGGCAGAGGGGATGCACCGGCCCCACACGTTCCTTCTGCCGTTTGGGGAAAGGCAAACCAGCACCTGCACAGCACAACCCTCCCTCCTCTTCAACTTACCGGGAGTTCTCATCCAAAAATGCATCTTGGAAACACGTATATGCCCAATTCCCATTGGGTTTGAGAACCTCGCTATCTTGTATTTGCATTGAAAATTTCTTTCCATGTAGGGCAGTGCCGTCACTGCCAGTTCCCACTTGGGCTCAGGGGCAGGGCAGGGTGGGTGCAGGGGACGTTCGTGGCAGAACCGTGACTGAGCCAGCATCCCCCAGCTCCTGAGTTCTCCCCGGGGCTGCGGAGGCACCGTTAAGGCCCCCATCATCAATGCCTGCTCTTCCCTTCCTCCACAGATCCCTGAAGGGGCATCCCTGGCCATGAGTTTGTCAGACAAGAAGGACACCACACTGAGCAGAGGTAACTTTTTGCTCCTCTTCCCCTACTTCTGGTGACTGGGCAGGAACACTTGTACTGTCAGAGGTTGTCTCTGGCCAGGATGTTGGGAGCCACTGCCAGGCCCCATGCCTGGGCACTGGGATACCGTGGCCCTAAACATGTGCTATCCAGTCTCCTTCTGTTCCTACTTGGTGGGGTGCAGAGTGCTCTCCCAGCCTTCAAGGTGTTTGCACCTTCCATCTCACACTCTGACTGGGGGTTTGCATCCAGTCTGTGCTGACAGAGTGAGAAAAAGGAAGAATCTGAAACCACTTGGCTGGAAAAGCCCTCTCCCTCCCATTTACACATGTTCAGTCTCTTACCAGCACATTTCTAGGTTTCAGGCTGTGCAGAGTCAAAAAAAAACACAAGGGAGACAAAAATCCACATTGAACAAGGAATTTCAAACTCCATTTTCAGGCTGCCTGCACAGGGCCCAGCAGTGGGAGTCCTTTTTCTGCCGGGGCGAGGAGCTGCTCAGGGCTGAGCTGCCCTGATGATGAGACTGGGAGACAGTCATGGGAGCACGGGGCATGGCAGGGCACAGCAGGGCACCACCGTGCAGGAGTGCCGTGTGCTCATCCTGCTCTTGGGTCCCTCTTAAAACACACCTTGGGAGACTGCAGGTCCCCCTTAAAGTACCTCCTAAGGTACTTGCCATGTGCCCCAGAATGCAATGAACAGCCCAAAACCAAGGAGAAACACTGAGATCACTTGTGGTGAGAACACCAGCTCAGTCTTGGAGTTCAGATGCCTCTTGAGGGCACCAGGAGAGGTGGGTTTCAGTTTGGGTCCCTCGACTGAGCCCCTGTGTCTTTCTTCTTCACAGTGAAGGATTTGGACACGGAGAAGTACTTCCACTTGGTAAGTATCCTGCTCCTGGTTGCAGGGATGCCGTCTGTGTGTGGGGGCCTGGGCTGCCCTCCCCTCCTGCCCTCCAGGAACTGCTTCTGAAAAGCAGAGTTGTTGCTCCAGGACACCCACTCTGCAGTGGCACTGGCACGCAGGGGGCTCTGCTCCCCCAGATCTGTCCTGCTGCCATGACAGCAAGGATGCTGACAGAGTGTGCAGCGATCCCTCCTCTCTCCTGCACTGGAGTCAGTGGGTCCTGTTTGTTCAGAGCATGTGTTGAAAGAGGAGAAACTCTCAACCTTGCTGACATTAACTTATATCTGTGGGCTGGAGTGTCAGATATGACGAACAAGCTGGATCAAGGTTTGTTAGTTCTCCTCAGCAGGGCACAATGAGGTGCAGAAAGGTGATCTATAGACAAACTTTAGTACTGAGGGACACAATAAAAAATTACCGGGATGGCAGAGAAATTGTTGTTCCTGATTGAGCTGTGGGCAGCCACAGAGAGCTCAGGAGCACGTCTGGAGCATGGCGTGGCACAGTGCTGCCAGCAGCATCCTGTGACACCTCAGTCAAGTCACCTGCTGGGAGCTCCTGGCACTCAGCCTGCTTCCCGGGCTGGGCACGTCCATGGTTCCTGCTGGTGTGCTGTTCTGGAAGCACAGAGTGCTAAATGCTGCTAAAAGCTGCTACAAGAAAAGGTGTTATGGACAACAACAATATTTTATAGCCTGGTTTTGGGATTTCTTTTCTCTGCTTGTGTTTCCATGCTGAAGTAGAAGCACATACACACACGCACACGTGCCGAGCAAGGAGGGAAAAGGGATGGGAAACCAACTGTTCGCATGTGAAACAGTGCCAGGATGGACGTCAGTGGCTTGGTTTGTCATTATAGAGCAGTAATTCACTTACCTGACTAGTGGAATATTCATTTTTGTTTTGAAAAAGCCAATATTCCTACATATTGTGCTTTTTCAAAATCCTAGGAAAACTGGTTTCTGCAGACACCATGTGCATTGCTACTGGGAGCCCAAGGTGCAGCCACATGGGGTTGGGAGAGCTCGAGGGGGGGGTGAGCAGGCCAGCATGCAAAGGGAGATGGACGGGTTCGTTTCCTTTGTCTAGCATGAGAGAGGCAATAAAGAGCACAGGAGAAACAAATGTCAGAAAAACTGAGTATTTTAAATCACTTTTTTAAAAGCCATATAAAGGTGTGTTTCTAAAACAGTAATTGCTTTTTAATTGAATTTTATGTTTAGTTGAAATTCTATAGTGAAAGGAAAGTTCAGTGTGACACTTGCAGAGAGGAGTGTTCTGACCGTGTGTTTTACCTGGGGCCAGGTTCTCCCAACCGATGAATCAGTGGAACATAAGAAGTCCCACAGGCAGAGCCATAGGAAGAAAGTCCTTCCAGAGATCTACCTGACACGGCTGCTCTCCACCAAGGTAGGAGCCAGGTGGCCCCCCGTTCGTGGCAGGTGGGATTGTTTGTTGTCCCTAGGGAGAAGTCTGCTTCCGGGGAGGAGCGCTGCGGGGCCGGTCTCTCAGGGGGCACTGGGACTCCTGTCCTGGATGGCTGGAGCACGTTTAGTGAGGCTGCCAGGCACCTCTGGCTCCTCAGGTCCCTCCAGCTTCCCAGCTTGCCCTCACTTCTGAATGACGCCCCACACGATCTCCCTGGGCTGGACTGGGGTCTGTGCAGAGGAAAGGGAGGTTGTCTGCCTTGGGGCTCGTGGTGCACAGCTCAGACCTGAACCCATCCCTCCAGCAAGAGATCCTGCTGGGACAGGAGGTGGAGATGCTCAGCTGTGGGAGCAGGGGGAATGTCTGTGTGATAGGTCAGATCCGGACCATCTTTAATCCCAGCATGGTGCCTCACTGGAGCAGAGATCACAAGGATGACCAGCAGTCTCTAGTCTTCTTTGTGTGTGCTGTGCAGAACAACCACAGATGTGAGATCCCAGCAGTAAAAAAGAAAATCTCAATGCCAGAAGAAATTAAACCCAAATGCAAGTTAATTATATCACTATGCACAAACAAACCTTTCCCTCCCTGCTTTGGCATCCACTTTCTCTTCTGATTTATTCAACTGGCAGCAAAGTGTTTCCCCTTGTGCACAGCAGTCACAGCCCCTCTGCTATTCTCCTGGGCTCGAATGCTCTCCCCGGGCTCCAGTTTGTCCTTGTCCTGCAGGGCACACTCCAGAAGTTCCTGGACGACTTGTTCAAAGCCATTCTCAGTATCCGAGATGATAAACCGCCTGTGGCCGTGAAGTATTTCTTTGACTTCCTAGAGGAGCAAGCAGAGAAGAGAGGGATCACAGACCCTGACACTCTGCACATCTGGAAGACCAACAGGTTTGGAAGAAGAAATCTTTCTTTTCTTCCTTCCATCTCTCAGGAGCAGCAGCTGCAAAGCCCTGGTGTCCCAGATCAATCATTAGGTTGCTAAAAGTAGAAGAGGGATTTGGAAAACAGGGAGGGTGGCAGAGGTGGTAGCAAAAGATGAGGCCAAAGACAGGCTTGGAGAGCTTTAAACAAAAACGGGGCTCATGGGAACAGCGAGCTGGAAGAGGAGGCATGGACAGATAAAGGGCAGAAGGAACTGGCACACTAACAAAAATAATGAAAGGAGAAACAGGATGACAGGAGACAGCAGTGGTGTTAGCTCCAAGCACTGGAGATCTGAGACTGAGTCATGGATGTTTTAAAACCAGCATATTTGGCTCCTTTTCATTTGCTTTCTGGCTTTTCAGCCCTCCAGGGCAATTTTCCTGACTTCTCTCTGACTTACCACGGGACTCTGGGAGCTGATGCTGTGATAGTGTCGTGCTGGTGGGCACTGCAGCACTGGGACCAGCCAGAGTGGCGCTGAGGGATGTGATGAGCAGTGGGATTTGGGTGGGGGACCCAAAGTGAAGGGGAAATAAAGCAGGAAAGAAAGCAGAGATTTTAAGCAGGAAGAGCAGGGAGCTGGGAGGGAGCATCAAGGAAAGGTTTAGAGCTTCTCAGGCTGTGGGGACAGTAACTGTTTCCAGCCCAGTATGTGAAAATTGAAACCAAATTTGGCTGGGAAAGCAGGCATGCAGGCACAACCATTGGGCTACAGATCTGCCTGCCCTTTGCTACCTTCATTAGGCCTGCAGAGCAAAGATTTTGCTCCTCAGCTGCCACAGAGGGACAGTAGGAAGGGCGAGCAATAGACTGAAGCTGTGTTGTAGCCAGATGAGCAGTGAAGTGAAGTAATTGGAGAAGAAAATTATGAGAGAGCAGAAAAAAAGACATATGAAATGCATTTCACGGGGCCAGGCTCACCATCAGAATCAGATGATGGTTACTGTCAGGGAAGAGGGAAAAGCCAGTGACACCAGCAAGGGGGAAGCCTGACTCAACAGCTCCATGCAGCCGGTGCGTCTCCAGGCCCACGGCTGCCTCGGGAGCTGCAGGGCCAAATGTGTGCCCAGAGGAGGCTCTACGTGCAGTTGCCTGTCTGTGCTGCATCCTCCAGCCTGTAGAAATGTCTCTGGGGTGAAGGTGCATTCCTGCCCCTCTGTCAAGGCAGGGATCGAATCTGTACTGGGGTTATTAAATAGTAGAATCTCTCTCCTCAGTTTTTTCTCTCTGCTACTCACTTTCTATCATCATCTTTCCTGCATTTCCTCCCCTGTCCCTCTAAAACACAAAAATTCACCTGGTGTGTGTTCCTGGATCCTTCTCTTTGCAGCCTACCGCTGAGGTTTTGGGTCAACATCCTGAAAAACCCCCAGTTTGTCTTTGACATTGACAAAACAGACCACATCGATGCCTGTCTGTCTGTGATCGCCCAGGCCTTCATCGACGCCTGCTCCCTCTCCGACCTGCAGCTGGGCAAGGTACTGTCTGGCGAGGACACCAAGCTCCTGCTTGGGCAGCCGCAGAACGGACCAGTCCGGGTGGGCAGGGACTGGCAGAGGTCACCAGCCTGGCCTCCCCACAGCAGGACTGCCTGGAGCCATTGCTTGGGCTCATGCAGCTGAGTTTTGGCTGTCTCCAGGGATGCGTTCTCCCCTCCTTCCCTACCCCTTCGTTCAGGCTTGAGCTGGAAATCCGCACCTCCTTTGTCACAAACAGTGGCCAGGGAGCAGGGACACACAGTCACAGGCAGGATTGACACAGGGCAGAGCCCCAGGCCAGGGGGCTCTGAGGGTCAGGGAAGACCAGCTGCTGGGCTGTGCACTGAGGTTCACCCATCGGCTCCATGAGCTCTCCTGCAGCTGTGGGAGAGCACCCGCTGACTCGGCACTGTGTCTAAAATGCTTCCTGACCCGGCTGAGCTGCTGCTGGAGCAGGCAAACATTTCTGCTGTTGTCTCAGGCAGGGGCGTAAGTTGGAAAGGTGAGCACAGGTGGGGGTCAGCTCTGCCCAGGGCACCAACACGGGGCATGGGCAGACCCCACAGGGGAGCCCAATTCCCTGTCAAGGCTGGTTTAGGGGTCACCATCAGCATAATGATCCCGTAAAGCAGCTGAGGGACAACGTAAGCTCCTAGTGACAGGATGGAAAATGATGTAGCTCCAGGTGAAGCTTCAGTCGTTGCTGTTGGTGGTTTCTGCACAGCCTCTCACCTGGGAGAGCTGCAAGAAGCCCAGGAGTTGACCCAATCCTCCAGGAGCACGGGCTGTGCCTGCCCAGGCAGCACAGAGCAGGCCTGGCTCACCTGGCGGTGTGGGGCTGCCCGGGGCCATCCCGGTGACACCATCCATCAGCACATGGAAGGCACTCAGCAGGCACTGCCGCAGTTGCTGCTCTCCTCCAGTGCAGCGCCTCCATCCCACACTGGCCATCCCCGGCACGGTGTCGGAGCCCGGCGGGCTCGACACACCACCGGGGGAGCTGAGAACGCGAGGCTGCACGGACCAGGTCCCCTCTCCCACCCTCAGGCCCTGCACATGGTCCTGCGGGGCCAGCCAGCGGCAGGACGACCCACGGCATGTTCTCTGTTCTCTGTTCCCCGCGGCCTTGGCTGAGCGCGGTGTTGACATTTGAAACTTCCTGACGTAAGTTCCATTAAGAAACGCTGTAAATCGCTGTCGGCGGCAGAGTGTGATGGGGGGGGACCCTGCGGCGAGGGGGTGGGGGTGGGCGCTGTGCCCCCAGCCCCAGAGCTGCAGGAAACCTTTGCTGGGAGAGGTTAATGCTGGAGGAAGATCTAATGAGCGCTTGATTTTTTGTTTGTTTGGGTTTTGGTCTTTTTTTTGCATGTGTTATGAAACACCTACAATTTGTCCTTGTCAAGCAGCGGATGAGGGGAAGAGGGGTCAGCTGGAGTCAGACAGCAGATGGAAACATTTTTCAGGAATACAATAGCATAAGTGAAGGAATTGTTGAGTAATGTGGGAAGAATAAATCCTCAGCCTAAAAATCAGCTTGCATGTACACGCAATGTATCACAGCGTTTTCCAGGCTGGATTCTTCCCTTCGTTTCAGCACATTGCTCTCAGTACTACAAAAGTGAGAGCAGACTCAGTCTGTACATCTGCGGTGCACAAGCGGTTAATAAACCAGTGCCCATCTCTTCATATTACAGACAAATCAGACACAAATTAAAAAAAACTTAAAAAAGAGGCAGCATGGGTTTCCTTTGTGCTTCCAAGGGAAAAAAAAATAATGCTGTGAGCAAGTTCTGTGAGTTGGCCATATTCCCGTAATGCCTTGTCATTGGGTTTGAAAATAAACTGCTGTGAGATCTGGTGCCACAGCCTGGTGCCCGTTTCCCATTTCCCCCACAGCATTAGCCATGCTACAGATTGCAGCAGCAGATTGCATTCACCCCGGGCTCCCCTATTCCTGCCTGACAGAGCTGAGGATGCTGCCTGCAGCCAGAGCCCCCCGCACCATCTCCTCAGCAGGTCCCCTCTCCCCCTGTCAGAGCACTGGAGAGCAGTCCCACACACCAGTGTCAGGGTGGCAGGACACGGTGATCTCACACCTCTCAATGTCCCAGAGCCTGGGGCGCTCCCCCTTGGGGATCCAACACTAGGCCAGTCAGCCAAGTTCATTCCCAGGGTAATGATATCAGCAGGGCAGGATTGCCTCGAGGTTAAAATCATTCATACTGTGTTTGCAAGGAGAGCAGCAGGGTTGTGCCTCCACTGGTACAACCTGGTTGTGTGGCTGGGAGGTTAAGGCTGCTGTGTCCAAGCTGACATTAATCAAGAGTATTCAGTATTCTCTGTTAATTACTTTACGTACACTCAATTTAGGCCAGGCAGGCTGGGTTAGCCAATGCAAAATAAATCAAAGCTACATGAAAAATCCAAGAGCACCATTTCAACTGACAAAGTTCAGCTTGTAAGATAAATTTGTTCTTCAGTTTAAATCAGGCTGGCTGCTCAAGAGACCCCAGCAACTGCATGCGGAAGCCCTTCCCTTGTTGCCAGTTTCCACACACAGTGCCATGGAGCACAAGTGTTTGATCTAGAGCAGGGCTGCTACCTCACCTGTAGAGCATCACCTGACAGCAAGCCACCCTGCCTGACCCTGGGCATGGTTTTAGCCTGCTCTTACTGCAACTTAAAACACATCCCCACCAACCCCCTTCTCTGGCATTGAGCTGACAGATGTCCAGCTCATGCTAGGATGAAGGGCAGCAGGATGGTGCTGCAGCTCCGCAGGCACATGGTGCCCATCTGCAGATCCTTGATGTATTTGAGGCCATGAGCTGTTTGGTGCCTTGGTGCCATTCCCCTGCAGTCCTGTCTGGTGACAGCCAGGACCAAAGGCAAGACTGCTCCCCGTACCTAGCTGTAGCTGAGGTCCCTGTCTGATGGACGGTCAGCACTCTGGTCAAGCAACCAGGATAAAGTTTTCAGCCAGGAACAACACGGGGCCTGATTTTGGTCTCTCACCCTCACTCTAGGACTCCCCGACCAACAAACTGCTGTATGCCAAGGAGATCCCCGAGTACAGGAAGATAGTGCAGCGATACTACAAGCAAATCCATGACATGTCGCCACTGAGTGAGCAGGAGATGAACGCCCACCTCGCAGAGGAGTCGCGGGTAAGTGGATGGAGGGGATGGGGTTGGGTCTGCAGGCTTGGTGTCCTACTGGCATCTGGGAGCAGCAGGGAATGCAGATAGGCTGCAGTCAGCTACTGCTTGGATGCTAGAAGGAGCGTGCAAGAAACAATATTTTGCCTCAAACTTCTACACATAAACTTCATCTGACCTAATTCCAAGCATCTTCAATTACTGCCAGAGCTGCAGTAAACACCCACGAGTTCGCTTGAGCCTAACTAGCTCTGGCACCACTGGGAGCTGAGCGTGAAATTCAGTGCCAAAAAGCCAGGAAGTTTGGACAAGGATCTCTGCAATCCTGCAGCCACCCAGCCAGCTGGCCCCTGGGCGCAACTGCCAGGGCTGGCCCCAAGTCCCAGGCAGCCGCTGGCAGCCAGCCCTGGTACCAGCCACGGGAGCTGGCAGCCACGCTCTGGATCAGAGTTCTGCCAGTGATGCACCGTGCATTCCTCAGAATCAGACCTTCTCCCCAAGGTGTTCTAGCTTCAGGCACTGAGCAGGACTTTTCCATTGACATTCTGCGGCCCAGCTGATGTGCTGCTCTCCTGTGAAATGGCTTTGGGCACGGAGGCGTAAGCAGTGCTACCCAGAGCGGGTATTTAAGGCTGGCTTTGAAAAGATGGAGACCTGTCCTGTTGTAAGCAAATGCACCTTCCTTAAAGGAAAAAGGCAAGAATCTGGCTGCACCAACACAACAGAAATAAAATTACCCAGGCAAAACCTGCTTTTAATGTAGTTGTTGCCAGCTGGCTGGGCTGAAACTCAGATGCTGCATCCTGTTAATATTATCCTCTCTTTTTTTCTGTCTTTATAAAGAAATACCGGAATGAGTTCAACACCAACGTTGCCATGGCTGAGATATACAAGTATGCCAAGAGATACCGCTCCCAGGTGAGTGGGTTTCAGGGCACTCGGGTCTCAGCATGCCTGCTGTGGTAACTCCATAATCAGACACTTGCATGCAGTCCCACAGAACAGGGATTATCAGGGTTTGCATAGTCCCAGCACATATGTAGTAGATGCACATGCAGATGCACTTGCTCTGTGTCCCTTGGCTGGCAACTTCTTGGAAGAGAAGGCCAGCTATTACCAGCTGGTCTTAACGGTGTTTGACTGGGCCGCGCTGAAGCAGGGCTGCCTGATGTGTAGGTGCTTTCAAGAGGGCAGAACATGCAGATACAGTCCACCCACCCCCAAAATAACATGCACCCGCCACCCCCACCAAGGCAGTGGCCCTGGCTGGCTCCTGCCCCCCTGCACCCCACAGGCTGGTGCTGCACCCTCAGCTCCATTATTGCAGAGCATTTCTGCCACATTCTCCTCCTCTCCCAGCCCTGGCCAAGGACCCAGCTGTGCCCAAGGACAGCAGCTGTGCAGGGGCTGGAGGGCAGGGTGGGCTTTCCAGCTATGGCTGGGATTTGGGCTCCACAGGGCTGACGGCAGGAACTGGGCTGGCGGGTGGGCACCCCTACACTGCCTTATCCACCCACCTGCCCATGTCACCCACAGATCGTGGCTGCCCTGGATGCCAACCCCACAACGAAGCGCACCCAGCTCCAGCACAAATTCGAGCAAGTGATTGCGCTCATGGAGGACAACATCTACGAGTGCTGCAGTGAAGCCTAGGCCAGCTGCAGCCCTGGAAGTGACCTTTCCTGCAGCACAGTGCCACAGGGAACCTGCCTTCAGCTGCAGGCACACCGTGGTCATCCTCAAACCAGCCTTGTGGTGGGGGTGGTCCTGGCCATGGCCGAAGGGCTCCCTCACATCACAAGAGGCCACAAGACACCTTTCAGAGCAGCTCAAACTCCTCTGGTATCCACTGTGGCACCCATAATTTATTTGCTGTTGCCAGCCAGAAATGGAGGTGTGACACCTGGGGCAAGCTCAGTTCACCACTTCCCTCTGGTCAGCACCCGAGCAGTCAGCACTCCCTGCATCCCGGCGTGTGGCTCCTCAGGACAAGGGATGGGGCTGCAGAGGCTGGAACAACAGACACAAAGCAGAAGGGTCACCTCAGGGAGTAACGAGCAGAGGCAGCATAGGCCATCAGAGCAACACCTGAGTTCCCTTCCACTCCATCCCTCCAACATCCTTGTTTTTCGAACACCAGGGACTCTTATCAGCTGTTCACTATCTGCTGCATTCTGTGTATTTTTGTGCCTTTTAATTTTTGTACTGTATGTGTAAACATAACTGCCCCTCCATCTGGGACTTGGGCAACATGAGGAACTTGGGGCTGAGACAAAGCAATTGCTTCCCAAGCAGCTAAGGCATGGTGAAAGCACTTTATCCCTAACAGAGACAGCTGTTTGGGTGCCAGAGGGAGTGCAATCCATGTAAGACGGTGTGGGAAGGGCTGTTCCCCCTTCCCTGGGTTCTTGTCTCTCATGCACAGCAAGCTGGAGGTGCAGTGGGTAGGCAAACATCCCACTGCCCAACCAGCTCGTCGCAGGCATGGTCCTGTCCAGACCAGATGCAGACAGAGGGTGAGGAAAGGACCGTGGCCCTTGCTCCCAGCCTCGCTGCACTGGCTCAACACGTGTCTGTGGCACTGCCCCCAGTGTCTGTGGCACCTTGACCCAGTAATGCCTTTCATGCCAACAGGGCCAGCTCCTGCTGACAGCCCTCTGACAGTGGCCTCGAGCCACACACAGGGCAAACACCAGGTAGCATTGTCCCTTTCTCTGCCTCTCCCCGTGGCCATCACCAAACACAAGGTCAGTGCTGCAGAGGTGTCTCCTAAAGCAGCCTGTTCTGCTTGCTTCAGGCCCAGCCCCCGTGGCTGATACCTGAGAGCAGCCAAGAGAGGGGGGCTTGGCTGTGTTACCAGCCTGTGTTCAGGCTTAGGCCAGGGTCAGTGAGAAGGTCCCACTGGCAGACCAGTGGATCTCATCCAAGACCAGAAACTGCAGTTGCCGCCCTGTGGCATTTGCACTGGGGCAACACCCCATCCCAGCTTGGTGGCCCCTTCTCTTTCCTGCAGCCCGGGGAGCTGTGACCACTCTGGTCTCCAGTGTCACACAGGCCCCTCTGAAGAGGCTGGGTACAGCCAACGCCATGTGCTCGAAGCCAGCATTCCTGCATGGGAAAAGGCTCCTGCCCACAGGGCTGGCCCTCCGCAGATGCCATGGTTCAAACTGCCAAATAGGAAAGAAACAAAGAAAAAGTTACTACCTCACTGCAGGAGGGTGTAAGGGGAGCCTTTGTTAGTCATTCAACTGACAGTGATGCAGCCTGGTATTAGATAACTGTTCACCAGAAGTACTCCTGGGTGACTCTGCCATGGACAGGTGGCCTCCATTCCATTGTTTCCAGTAATGCCACATTTGTCAGAAACCGCAACATCGGAGTTGTGTATGTGTACATAGATATCTATTTTAAAACAAATGATAGACTTTATCCAGTATGTTAAAAGGGGGGAAGGGAGGGAAGGGAAAGGGGAAGAACAGAGGGGGTTTTTTAAAGAGAATTACAGAAAAAGTACTTACACTGCAGAGGTCTCAATGTCTTTGCTGAGGATGTGGCTTCAGAATATAAACTCTTAAGAATGTAGCTGGGCTACGTTTTATTTTGAAAGTGATTTCACAAAATCTTGAATTTTTTTTTCTGTTAGAGACTGTGAATAGCTGACAGAGATTTAGGCAGGCCCAGCACAGGGAAGGCAAGGGCAAGAAAGAACAAGGTAGCAGAGAATGTTGAGTTTGGTTGGAGGCAGGGAAAGGGCCATGGAGCTGTAGCCCCATGTTGTTTGTTACAGGGAAAGGAAACAAGTGAGTCAAGAGCAAGTAGGGTTTGCCTCCAGGTGCTGTGACTGGGCTGTGTATTGAGGCTATTGCTTTATTATTTAATTTTTATCAAAGCAAAAAAAAAATAAAAAAAAGAAGTATTTGCTACAGCCATGTAAAGGAACAACTTTAACAGAGCAAAAGCTCGAGGGTTTGTAGTGTTGTATTGCCTTGAACCCCTGAGCCCTTTGTAACATGTTTTCCAACTTTGGCACGTGTTGTGGATGTAGTGCCCTTACCTGCTGTGTAGTGGAAGTGGCAAACTCCTGGCAAAGCCTATCTTTGTAATAAAACTAGGTGCTGAACCTGTGGAGTGCAGTTCCTGCCCCTGTGTGTGCAGAGTACACGCATGAAAGACACCTGCACAGACGAGCCTTGCATGTACGAGGCACACCATGGGCAGGGTCAGCAGCTCAGTGAGAACCCCCTTGTTTCTGCAGGAGACAGGTTTGTACCTCTCTGAGCTGCAGAGCTCGCTGTGGCCACACAGCACTCCCACAGCCGGTGCCACGGCTCCCGCTGGAAGAGGCGTGGGAGCGGACGACTGGCACCCGAACTGACTGACACTGTGCTGCACACGTGAAGACCAGCAGCCCCACAGCAGCAGCTGGGGCCGGGCACCCTCACCTCTGCCAGCTGCCCAGTCCACAGGACAGTGCCTCCCCCCAGCCCTGGGGAGCCAGCACCTCCCTACACTGTCAGACCAGGCTGCAGCTTCAGCACCCTGACACCAGCTTGGCCCAGGGGCCTTAATAACCATGGCATTGCTAAATCCATGCTCTTCCATCTCCTCCAGTAAAAGCTGCACTTTCCAGACACTGGAGGGATTTTTTTTCTCCTGCTAGGAAGTTGATTCTTAGTAAAGCTAAATCCAGCCATTAAATGACTCGGCCTCTCTCAAAGCAAGAGAGTTGCACGTTTCACGCTGCAGATGGTGAGGAGGGAGGACACAGCCCCTTCCCTGCCCTGTTGGGACATTGCCACATGGGCGAGCGAGGCTCTGTTAGGCCACCACTGTCAGAGGATCCAGTGAACTCAGCTCAGTTACTGCTGTCATATTCCCCACCCTGTCCCTGGAGGGACACGAGTTCCAGCTCCCTTAAAGATGGATCAACATAGTCAAGGCTGAAGTTTAAAGAGAAGTTAGTTTGCTCAGCTCTTGCTTAAGCCCCAGAGCAAGGCCAGGAGCCTTGGAGGGCATTGGCAAGGCCAGCTGCAGATTAGTGAAATCCTCTTTAGGAAGAGTTTTACTTCCACTTATTTTCTCCCACCCAGGAGGACTGTAACCCTTTACACGATCAGCCTGACCTTCAGAAGGGCTCTGCTCTGGGCAGAGCAAGAGAAATTCAGGCATTTGAAGCTATTAAATGAAAGTGTCATACACTGACCCACAGGAGCTCACAAGACAGGTTTGGATGTGGGAACTGTGCCACAGACAGATAACAAGAGCACAAACTATGCTGGGGGCTCCAGCAAGCACTCCAAACTCATTTTTGAGCCCTAAAACACCTCTATCTTTCTCTTACTATAGTTAGAGCACACGCAGCTCCCCCCAGTGCTCGGGACCATGGCATGCACCCAGACCTCCCACCCTGGCACTCTCATAATCCCACCTCAGCCAGGCATCAGCACAAGGGCAGCCAAGAGGGCAGAGGGCTCGACACCTCACAGTCCACACCAGCAGTACTGGCCAAGCCTGAGCTTCTCCATTCCCGTGGGTGCCACCATGCTGTGTCCCATGGGTCCCAGGGCCCCTGCCCAGGCCATCACTGCCAGCCTGCACACACACACAGCCCCCAAAGCCCAGCATACCCCTGGCACCACAGCTGGGGACACAGGGACAGACAGGGCACCTCTCCATGAGGGCAGGCAGAGAGGCAGCTGCCTGCAGTATCAACTCACTACCATGCCATGCAGCATGAGGCCAGGGCTGGGAAATGGGAGCCCAGGGGCAGGGGCCCACAACCAGGGTAGCAGTCAGGCCATTCTATGAGGTGAGTAAAGAAGCTTTATTAGCAGAAGGTAAACACAGAGTTAAAACCTGTCCTGGGGACTAAAAGCAGCCCAGACCCTAAGGGCCTGGGGCCAGTTGAAGCAGGGCTAAGTGAGACTGTCTGGGTCCCCCGACAGAGCCGTTCTATCCTCTCCAGGGGACGCTGCCTTCTGCAGCCTGGCTTCCCCCTGCCTGGCTCCTGGGGTCACCTGGGGCTTCTTCGCCTGGCCTTGACCCCTCTGTGCCTTGAGGGGACCCTGCTGTGCCCCCTTGAGCACCTTCCCCTTGCTCTTTCCCCCAGGGACCTTTTGGGGCCCCTTTGTCCCAGCACCCACAGAGCTGTCGCTTTTGCTCCTTCCTGCAGCCTCAGCCCCACAGGGCCTTGAGCACCCTTTGCCAAGTGCCTGGGGGTGGTCAGCAGCTCGTGGGGGCCTTGAACACCCTGTGCCAGGGGCCTGGGGGTGGTTGGCAGCTCGCGGGGGCTTTGCTCCATCGCTCCCAGGCTTCACTGCAGCTCGTGGCTGGGCCTGGAGGAGAGGGAAGAGAGCACCTCAGGGTGCTGCCATGCCATGAGCCACCCAGCCCCACTGCCATCACCTACTCACATCCATGGGCTTTGCTTTTGGCTTCTGCTTCATGGCTGTCAGCTGCTGCTTCGTGGTACCTGCAGACAGGGTGGTGGATGAGTCCTGGTGAGGCCAGGCAGCATGGGGTGGCTCATGCCCCTGAAGCCCTTTACCTCATTGTTGTGCACCAGCCACAGGGGCACAGGGGTCCTTGGTGGTCCCTTCCTGTCCTGGCTTCGGGGCCTGTCCTCTGTCAGGATCTGCCTGGCCCAGATGCTGCTTGTGCTGTGGCTCCTTGGGTGCTAACTGGGGGTGAGAGCAGGGTGTCAGTGGGCCCAGGCAGCACCTCAGCCCCCAGCTGCCCTGGCAGCCCCCTGCTCACCATGAGGGTGCCGGTGGCCCCCACAGCAGAGGAGTTGTGGGGCCGCACCAGCTCCCCACAGCTCAGCCCCTTGCTCAGCACCTGCTTCAGCAGGTACTTGAGCCGGATAGGATCCTCCATGGGGTACTTGGCCAGGATGAATCGCTTGATGGTGAAGACAGAGGCACCCTTCTTCTCATCTTGGGCCTGCAGCGCCTCTTTGACCATCTGCAGGGTTGAAGGGCGCCGGGCCACACTGCCCAGGACCAGTGGACCTGGGAGTCGGGCTGGAAGAGGCACCATTTGAGACTGGGGTCCAGCCCCAAGACACTCACACCTCCAAGGGCTGCAAAGCCCCCAGAAGCTGAGCAGCCATAACTCTACTCATCCCTACAGACTCACAGAGACTGTGGCCACTAGAGCTCAAACCAAGCCCCAGAGACCCAGCCCGACAAGAACCCAAAGTGAGCCCTAGAGCCCAAGCTGAGACTCACCAGAGACCCAGCTCTGCAGGACCCTGCAGCGCTTGCAGACCCCTTACCCATTTGAGGCTCCATAGCAGAACACACGAGCCCACAGCCTTGGGCACAGGTAGCTCCAACTCCACCCACAGCACCACTGACCCTGCTCCTTAGGCCCAGCTCACCTCCTTGCAATTTATCTCATGAGCAGCCTGGATGGCAGCTGGTTGGCAGCTGCTAATTGCTCTGGTCTCCGCCCCGGTGGGAGCTGGGAATTCAAGTGCCCTTTGCCAGAGTTTTGTGTGGGGCTGGAGGGGCTCAGGGCAGACCTGAGCAGATAGTTTGGAGAGGGATGAGAGACTGGGAGTGTGTGGGATGATTGCTCTGAACAGGCAGGGGAAAGGCACCTACCCGCTGCTGGGTGGGTGTTGGGGTGCTGGGATGGCAGCTTGCTGATAGCATTTGCTGTGGGGTGCATGGGGAGCCAGCTTGCAGCGTGCGGCCCACACAGACCTGTTCCCAGTGTGCTGGTGGGATGTGCTATCTCCCTTTGCTTCACTGAGAAGCAGGGGTCTGATAAGGAGGGGAAAAAACAATCCCACAAAGAAGAGGAGGAAAATGAAGAGCTGCTTGGTTAATCAGCAAAGTGACTCCCCCCCACTATCTCCATGATCAGGTTCATGAGCAGGACGACCATTCGTCCCTGCCCACTGAATCCCACCATGCTTGGGGGAGAGCACTCCCAGCCCCGGACACGGACAGCCATGTCCCCTCCACGTCCCCTCTCTGCTGCCACCTGAGTAAATCACTGAAGGTTCTTTGGTGCAGGAACAGCACAAATGTCCCCACCTGGGGGACTGCTGTGTTCCTCCCCAGTGCCCCATCAATCCCTCCCTCTGTACACAGGAGACTCACGGGGCTTCCGTGTGCATTGTCTGTCTGAAAGGTGAGGAAGCTGCGAGCCAAGATTACACTATGGCAGGATTGGCTCCTGGCCACCTCAGCAGACCTGTCACCATGGCAATGGACCTGCAAACTACTGCCCACAGAGACCTTCATCAAGGTCTGTGCCCACCACTTGAGCCTGGGGGCCAGATCCTGGCTGAGGTGGCAGCAGGAGGCAGGTCTGGCAGCTGGGAGAGAGACCGAATGCCTGGAGCACCACATGCCCAGTTCCCCCCCGACCAGCAGCACCAGCCTGCTACCTGCTCCATTTCCAGTCCATTTCCAAATTCCCCAGGAAGCGGACAGTGGGGACACTGGAAGGAGGCAGGGCCTGGCACCATCTTCCACCTGGATCCATCCATCACCTCTCTGGCAGCTCTGTGATGCCTCTGGTACCCAGATGAGCTGGCAGGGGGGTCCCAAACCCTTGCTTGCCACCAGCACCACCAGCAGCAGCTGTAGGGCTGGGCACGGTGAGGAGTGACAGCCCACAGGCTCGGGGCCAGGCTGTGTGCTGGGGCTGGTCCTGCACGGGCAGGCGAGCTGCGGTGCCAGGCATTGCCACACTCCTCTGGAGCACAGCCTCACGGACAGCAAATAAACACCAAATCCTTCCTCCTCTTCCCTCCAAAACCACCTCCTAGATTTGAAGTACATGAATCAGACATCAGCCTAAACACTGAATTATTCATAAAACTCTAATCCTTAGATTTCACTGAATATGCAGAAGTATGGATAAAAAAAATAATGAGAGAATTGTACTTGCAAATTGCTCTTTATTAAGGGTTTAACTTGCATGGGCTCTATACGTTGCCTATTAGTCCTTGCAAAGCTGCATAGGATTAGAAATCAGAGAGGATAATAATGTACAAAAATAGTTTCAAATGTTGATAACACTGAACAGCCAGAAAAACATCTTATTTGTGTAACTGAGCTAAAAATAAAAATGAAGAACAGTGCTACAATTGCAATATGCCATCTTGTAGTGCTTCAAACATATGTTGGCATCACTGAGCCATATGCTGCTGGGTCCTGCCTGCTGCGGCGCGGGAGGAGCTCAGCCCTGCACCCGGCAAGCCTCAACAGCACAGGAGCTGCCCAAAACCGCCTCTTGGGCCGAGGCCAAACTGACCGCAGCTGAAATGGAGAGGGGTGCGGGGGAGTGTGCTGGGGGCTTGGCCCAGGGGGTCCAAAGATGCCTAAGGATGACGGATGGGACTGTGGGAAAGAGTGCTGGCGGACGAGGAGCGCGGCTGCTGCTGAGGGTGCAAGCTCTGTCCACGTGCTATGCTATGCCGTGCTGTGCCGTGCTGTGCCGTGCCGTGCTATGCCGTGCTGTGCCGTGCCGTGCTATGCCGTGCTGTGCCGTGCCGTGCCGTGCCGTGCTGTGCCGGCAGGGCCCTCCGTGCTCCTGCCTGCTGGGCAGGATCCACGACCTTCACCGCTGCAGCACAGGAGGGCCCACGTGCCCCGGTATTGTGCTGTCCCCCGGAGGGGACGCAGCGCCTCCGTGGGCTTCTGACAGGCTGGAGGTGGGGCAGGGCTGAATTTGGTAGCACCTGGCAGGGCCCGGGGCACCTCGACGCAGCCAAACCTGCTCCGGGCAGCTGGAGCGCGGCAGGACCGAGCGGCTGTGTGACACTGGCTAGGATTCATCTCCGGCAGCAGAGACGGGAGGTGGCCCCAGCTGCGGCCCCGGCAGCAGCAGAGGCAGGACGTGCCCTGGCCGGGCGTCAAGGTGGGGAGAGAGAGGCGAGGGCAGCTCTGCCACGGCCCAGGCATGGCAGGGCTGTCCGCCCCAGGATCTGCACTCAGAGCAGGGGCACGAGCTCTCAGCAAGTCAACAGAAACTCACGGATATACGCCAGAGGAGCTAAATCTTTGCATTTTAATTACAAAACGTGTGTACACATTTTCAGCCTTGTTCCCAGGGTTCCTAGTGCCAGGAGAGAGGAGCCCGCCCCACAGGGCCTTGGCCGTGGCGAAGCAGGGGCAGGTGGTGACAGCGGTGGGACTAAGTTCGTGCACCCCAGGGACTGGCCCAGGTGGGGCCTACGCAGGAGAGACCTGGCTGGTGGAGACGGAGGAGGTGTCTGTCTTGCCAGCAGACGTGTCCTCGTCTCCCAGCGGGTTCTTGCCACAGCAGAGGGTTGTGATCATGCAGTTACGGAACTGGGAGAGAGGGAAGCCCAGTGTGAGGCAGGCGGACACCGGGCAGCTCTGCCCACAGGGCTGTCTCCAAGTTCAGCAGAGCTGCTTGGAAGCCCCCAGCACCACAGCACAGGAGGCACCACACCAATGGAGTCTCCTGCCCCACTGGCTGCTGCCAGCCCTGCCTGCCAAAGCCCTGGCTCCTCCATCAATGCAGCACCTGCATCATTTCAGGCTGGATGGCCTTGCATTCGTGAGATTTATGCAATGCCAAGGCTGAGCTGCACAGTCACCCTCCCACGTAACCAGGATGAGATCACCTGGAAACAACCCCCCCTCCAGCCCACTGGCAGCTTGAGATGCCGTAACTCTCTGCCAGGTGTTATAAACTGAAACACAGAAAAGGAGTTGTCTCACCCCCTGCCACTTACCTGTTTGTTCATTACGATGTAGATGACAGGGTTGTAGATGGAGGAGCTCTTGGCGAAGAACGCCGGGATGGTCATGAAGATGGGCCCAAAGTCTGATCCTTGGTTGGTGAAGATGTAGAACGCGACACTGGCATAGGGGACCCAGCAGATCAGGAAGGAAATGACCATGATGATGACCATGCGGGTTACTTCTTTTTCTGCCTTCTGGGTGGTGGCAGACTCCTGCTGCTGGGCAGCAGCCTGTGGGTAGAAGGAAATGGAAATGTAATGGAGCCAGAGAGTGCTGCGCCAGCAGGGATGTGGGGTGAGGGCTCATGGAAGTCAAGCTGCGCATCTGGAATTTGCTCTTTCCCTCTTCATGGAGGGCCAGCTTGGCCCCTGGAAGGCCCTCCCCATCACCAGTCTGGAACCTGGTGTGGGCCCTTTGCCAGCACTGGGGATGGAGATGGCCCTCGGCCCACTGTCACTGGCAGATACCCACCTCCTTGACAGTGCAAACCAGGTTCCCGTAGCAGAAGAAAATGATTGCAAGCGGGATCATGAAGTGAACCACAAACATGTAGATGACGAAAGATTCGTTGTTGACCTCTGGCTTCAGAGTGTAATAGTCGATCCCACATGAGCACTGCATGCCCTCGGGGATGTACCTGCAAGGTGAGCCCAGCAGGTCAGTGCCCAGCAGAGGAGATAGGCTGGAAGACACAGCCAAGCCGCCAGCCAGGCTCCCACGCCCCCTGCGCTGGGCCTGGTGCCCCCCCTACCTGGACCAGCCGAAGAGCGGGGGAGCCGCACATGCCAAGGCCATGATCCAGGAGAAGGCAACCCCCATGATGGCGTGGTTCTCCCCGAAACGGAAGTTGCTCATGGGCTTGCAGACCACTACGTATCTTTCGATAGCCAGGACCACCAGTGACCAGAGACCAATTTCACCTGCACCAGGGAGGGGACAGAGAGGGACACAGGGACTTTGAGCAACAGGAAGAGAAAAATACTGTGATGGCAGCATGAAGCCTCCTCAGACTGATGTTCCTGAGGACAACTCCTGGCAGCTGTTAAATCTCCACCAAGGGTTTGGAAAGAAATGAACAAAGGTCAAGTGCAGATGCAATAGGACAGTGTGAGAAGACCCCTCCTCACTGCACTGTTTACCCACAGGAACCACTTTGCTGCTATGTTTTGAGATCCATGGCTGGATCCCACCATTCAGCTCAGACAGCACCTGCACCTGCAAGCCTACTGCCACACTCTGAGATGCAGCGAGTGCCTGTCATCCCAGGATTTCCCCTTTCTGCCCACAGCTTCCTCGGAAACTTGTGCCACAAGGATCAAACCAGTAAAGCAGTAGCTGTGGCTGAAGACTGAGCTAAATGGAGGAGAGCATTTTTATACACACAATTTTTGTTTAACATCTGTTTGGGTCCAAGCCTGGCTGGCATGGGGAGGAGAGCCAGCTCTGCTTGCCTGCACCGCTGTGCACCACACCAGTGCTCGTGAAACTGGAGGAACAGACTCGCAAAACAGGAGGAACAAAACTGTCATCTCTTGACTCAGAAAGTGAGCCAAGGAGATGTGCAAATCCAACAACTGCAAAATCTGCTACTGGCAGCTTTTCATTGCTGCACTGTGGTTCTCAGGATACTGAGAACTGATACTGGCTCCCAAAAGAAGGTTAAAAAAACAAGTGTCATTTGTCACTTTGTTCGCCTCCCACCCAGAAACATGGCAATGGCCTCGACCCACAGCAGCAGCAGACCTTCCAGGTACCATATTCTTCCAAGATCATCTGTGTGTCTTCCCTCCCACTCCTAAAATCTGGGGCAATTCCTGGCAGGAGACTTCTGAATATTTGGAAAACTTACCTCCCAGTGTGGCAAAGAAGCCTTCAATGTAACACCCTGTTACTCCAAAGACAAAGTACCCGTTCATCGAGGTGTACATGGTGGTCGTGAAGCCTCCAAAGACCATGAAGAGGTCAGCGACTGCCAGGTTCAGAAGGATGTAGTTTAGAGGTGTCCGGAGTTTCTTATGCTGGATGGTGACGTAGAGCGTGAGGAAGTTGATGGGGAAGCCGAGCAGGATCAGCATGAACATGTAGGCAGCTAGTGCTGAGAACTTCCAGGGCTCAGCCAGGTAGTACTGGGGGTACTCGAAGGGGCTCCGCACCACCCCGGTCTTGTTGGACATGGGCACGTAGAAGTCTTGGCCTTCTGTCCCATTCATGGTTGTGGTTCGTGAGGTGCCTTTCGCTCTTACTTAGGGGGTTCTTTTGTGTACAGGGGGATCGACTCTGAAGTGGAGCTCCCGCCACCTCTCAGCCTTCACTGTCACCCCCAGGAGAAGCGGCTACACTCCCCTCCACAGGGCACCTCTTATAAAGTGCCCCCGAGGTAAGCCCTGGACACCGGTGTCAGCACGATTAGGGTTTAGAGAATTATTAATCATAATCATCCAGGGCTAATTGGCTTTCCTGGGAAGGTGTTAAGGTGACACCTGTTTCTGGCCCTCACTGTCATTGTTGGAAACCATGGCTCATGGTCACATATAAAGAGGTAGCTCTGCACCTCACCTTTCATTTGGGGGGGATCAAACCAGGCAGCAGCTCCGCTCGCAAGGCTCTGCTCTCTTTTCCATCCCCCACTAACAAGAGGGATGTGTGTGGTTCACACCCCAGGACTGTGGGTTTGGGGGCTGCAGATGGTGGCTGGACTGGACAGGTGTGGTGTGTGTGATCCCTCAGTGACAGAGGGGTGTCCCAGCCCCATTCTCACAAGGGGAATGTGGGCCCATGACACCAGCCAGTCCCCACTGGAGATCCGTCACCCCCATAACTGCTAGTCCCTGTGGGAGGCTGCAGAAGGCGATGTCACCAACTCTTCTTCCACATGTTCCAGCCACCTCTCTTTCTGTTCAAGATTTGGCTGCAGAGTTTTGACCACCACCGTGAAACACTGGCCCCGATGGCGGGTTACCAGTTGTACCATCTCCTTTGTGCCTGGCTTTGTGCGTGGTTTGAGTCATGCCAACTTCATTGGTAACACCTAATAAGTAACCTAGTCCATCTGTCCTGGACTGCAGTCGTTCTGCACTGGCGCTGAGAATGCTGCTGGACCAGGGCACTGATGGGAGGTTCAGAGCTGAAGCCAACACCCAACCTCATATGCTGGGTAACAGACATCTTCAGTCTCCTCGAACTTTGTATAGCCATCAAACTTCAGTCTTTCATGTCTCTCTGCCTGCCCACTCAGTGAACTCGATTGTGCTTGAAACATTCTTTGTGCCAAACAGCAGATGAGTTACATATTGTCTCAATTTTTCAGAGGCAATGAGACAACACGTACAGGGGGTGAGCACAAGGAGCCAACCACAGAGGAGTTCTCTTCTGGAGGTTCCTCACAGTTCACATCATTGTGATTAATCTTTTAAGCTCCAAAGCTATTTTCTCCATCTCTCCTCTTTTTTTCCACCCACTGTTTACCACCTTTCTCACTAGCAGTCGCTAACATTCCAGCTGGCAGGCAGGCACCAGCTGGTTCCCCTGTGGAGGCCAGGCAAGAGCTGTTTGCTCTGCCCCTTGGCATGTGATGGAGGCTGAAAGGGAGCTGAGCACCCACCTCCCCTCGCTGTTCTGGCTGCATTTGGGGCTGAGCTGAGCATTCTTCACAGCCAGGAGCAGGTGAACATGAGGGTCTCATCCAGCACAGGAGGATGTGCCAGAGCTGCTGGAGCTCATGGGTATGAGGTGGGCAGAAACTCACATCCTCTTGGCCTTAATAAACTTCCTCCAGTCCTGGTCTAGTTTTCACCAGTGTTCCCTGTGATTTGGTTTAGCAAAAAGTTTAACAGAAAAAAGCACAAAGCACTGTACCTCTCTAAAGCAGAGACCAAGCTGGGAAACCTTCCCTTTAAGCAGAGAAGGGGGAAAAGAGCTGAAGTGCTGGCACCACAGATGAGGGCAGACCTGGCTGGCTGCAGCCCAACGCAGGCCATGCTCTCTGGACAGTCCAAGAGGTCTTCCTTACCTTAACATACTCTGCTCACCCTAAGCCCCTCTCAATTAACTTCTCACACTTGTTGCCAAGGCCAGAGCAGTGCCACTCTAACTGCAAATGCAGCTGTTCACACTTGTACGTGGGCACACAAGGATTAAAGGTTTATTTCCCAATACACCTTAAGCTGATGCAATAAGCCACTGCTGAGGTAGCAGCTGCTGCGTGGAGCTTAGGCTGGTGTGCGTCACCACTGGATGCAGCAGTGGGACAGGCAGGCAGCAATGAGGTAGAGGAATGGGACAAATTGCTCACAAGAGCTTCTAACCAAAGCACAGTGGTGGGACCTCTTGTAGCTCCAGGGACACCTCAGCATGAAGTCAGCCGGGAGGCTCCATGGCACAGGGGAGCCTGTACTAGAACACCTTGTCTCACATGTATGAGATGTGAGATCTGACTGTTCCTGCACAGAAAAGCCCAATAGGTTTTTCAAAGCTAGACTTTATTCACAGAGTTGGTTATTTAAAAAAAAAAACTTCCTTGCTTGATCTGTTTTGTGTCTCTGTCACAGCAAACCCTTTCTCTTTATTTTTATATTTTTTCATTCCCACTGGCTCTGCACAACCAGCTCAGTTCCAGGAGAAGGAACCGAATTCCACCCTGGCTTGCATCTCAAACAGCATTGTTTATCTGTGTCAGTAGCAGAGTCTTCACTGCAAACAGTGACAGCTGAGTTAGAAAGCAGAGAGCTGTAATTAGAACGGAATGTTTTTAAAGTGGTAAATTAAGCAAACTTGGTCAGGAACCACTGAGGGCCTCGGAAACCCGGCCATGCCATTGCAGGCTCTCCCTTTCCAGAGGTACTTGAGCAGAGACATCCCATTTCACAGGCAAGGTGCTGCTCCCGTGGGAGCTGCTCTGCCAGCACCAAACACCTGTCGCTTGAGACGGTACCGTGTCCTTTCCCACTCAGGGCAAAGGCAGGCTGGGACAGACAGGCTGCCATCACAACAGAACTCGTGGCAACACGGGCACAGTTTTATACCGGTTTCAAGGCAAGAGACCTATCGCCTCCCAGCTCCAGCCCAGCCAGTTACCTACATGAATCTTTCTGCTGCCGGGGAACCACTGTGACCATCCTGAGGGGCACGTTGGTATGGCTGGCATGGAGCTCACTTCCCTCACAGCAGTGTGAAGTGCTGTGCTTTGGTGTCCAAACCAACGCTGGGAACACAGCAGTGCTGTAGCAGGGGCTGAGAGGTGCCTGCACAGCACTGGGATTTCCTTTTTCCCTGCTCTGTCTCCCTCAGGAATAGGCCAGAGCTGGGCAGGGGGCAGGGAGCAACAGAACTGGGACAACTGCCCAAAGGGCTGTCCCGCTCCAGATGATGTCATGCTCCAAAATAAAAGCTCAGGGAAAGGAGGAAGAAGGGAGGATGTTGTGTTTGTGGTGTTTGCCTTCCCAAGTGATGGTTACTCATGTTGAGCCCTGCTCTCCAGGAAGCAGGGAATAAATTCCTTCTTGCTTTGCTTTGCTTGCACGCAGAGCTCTGCTTCAACCATTAAACTGTATTTATCTCAACCCAGGAGCTTCTTGGCTTTTGCTCTCCTATTTCCTGCCCAGTCCTGTGGGGAGAGTGAGCCAACATAGGAGCTGCCTGGGACTGACCCCCCGTGTCTCGTGCCTCTGCAAGGGGCTGGAGCAGAAGGCAGCAGGTCCGTGTCCTCCCACCTGCACACGTGGCTCGCCCTCAGCTCCAGACTGACACAGTGCTGGGGACACCCTGCTCAGCAGCACTCCCTTAGCACACCCCTCCATGGCAGCACCATGGTCAAGGGATGGTGGGAGTTCAGGAATGGTCAGAGGTATGCTCAGGTATGCACAACCTGACATCCTGCACTTTAACCAGGTGAATTCCACAGAGACTGAACCATCCCCCACCCCAGGGTGGCTGTGAGATGCCCCCAGTGCCAAGAGCAGCTGGAACTCTACAGATTACACTTGAAGGGCTCTACATTTTAAATCTCTTCTTGCCTAAATTGAATAGAAAGGGAAAAGAAATTCAAGATCAGAAGCAGGAGCACTATAGCAAATTCCAAGACAAAGAGTAGTGAAAAACAGTCCCATTTATTTGAAGATCTGTCAATAACAGGTGTGTATTAAGAAGCAAATCAAATCCTAACACAATCTGGAGTAAAAACAATTACTTAAAGTCTGAACTTGACCCTAGAAACATTCCTGTAAAATTCTGTGGCACTTCAGCTGCTTGCCTGGGAAATGCAAAGCACATTCACAAACAACAGACATTTTAATTTAAAAAAATAGTTACATGTCTTCAACTCTTACAAACAAAATAGAGCAAGATGACTGACTTTCCTAAGTCGTTAGGAAAGCTTTATGGATCTAAGAAGTGTTTTGCCAAGCCAACAGGAGAGACTGTTGTTGAGATGAAAGACTGGTTTCCTTCATTGGTTTGACTCATCTCTTCTCCGTCGACAGAACGGACAACAATTATGCTGGAGTATGAGGAGCTCATAGTCTTCTGTGTGAAACATCTGTTAATTAGAAACAGATTTAGCACAAGTTAGCTGGTGCCCTGCTCAAAAAAAGTGCAATCTGAGCTCAACGGGTGCTCTACAGCACAAATATTCGGAAACCACCATGAGAGATTGGTTCTCTCCGTTTCAATTGCCTGAATGCTACAGCTGGAACAGAGCAGTGAGCACTTCACAGACCTCTGCCAGTGCTGCTGAGGAGGCACAAACCCATTAACTACTTTTGAAGGAAGGACAACAATTAGACAATTTCTGTGTAAGCAAACATGACTGAATTCCAGCATTTCAAAAACCCATTCCTGAGTGAGGCTGGAGCAGGGCTGAACCACAAGATAACTTAGTGACTGACTGATCTTCCTTGCTAGACCAGGCTCCAAGTCACAGGGACAGAGCAAAAGGAAATAAATACAAACCAGCTTCTGTTGGTCAGCCAAGGTTTGCTCAAGAGGCTCCGACTTGCTGTCAGGACAAGTTCTCAAATTCAGCTACTGCCAAGGTAGCTCTGTGCATCACATAGCTCTGAGTTGGGGTTTCATTGCTCTGTCTCTACCTCAATCGGGAATTTGCTGAATACATGTCAGAGCATGAGTTTTTGATGATTAGCATTGTTTCAGCCATTGGGTTCTGGATAGGGCTTTTTGGGTTGTTTTTAAACTTCTCCACGAAAACAGTACCTGAAAGCAGGATGGACACATGGTGATGGAGGCGTCGGGCAGCAGGGACCGGTAGTACTGCCAGCGCAGCGGCTGCGGCCAGCGCTTGACCAGCACGTCCCGCCGGCT